GCTATAGTTACTAGCAATTTAATAACTAAAAATAATAACTTTTTATAGCTATAAAAATTATACAAACGCTTAAGTAAAATAAATATACCCTAAAAAGCAGGAGCGAGCAATTAAGCTAGGCAATAAAAGAGAAAAATAATAGTAGCAAAAAAGGGTAAAAAAATTGCATTATAAAAAAACTTGTTTGCGTTGCCGTTGCTTGCGTTACTATTTTTAGTATTAATTTAATAATTACTATTATTGCCTAAAAGCCTAGTATTAGTTAGCTGCTTAGTAGCAGTCTAATATTATACTAGACATTTAAATTATATACTTAAAGCTGTTAAAAAAGCCGCGCTTTAGCAGTTAAAGTTACATTATTAGGAATTAGAAGTTTATTACTTAGTAATTCTAAAAATAAAAGTACGCAATATATAGTAAAAATACTAATAATATAAGCTATTAATAATATATTAGGTCCTGTCTTTGCAGGACTAGTACTTATAGAAAGTAGTTATATAGTAATTTACTATATAGTATAATTGCAAGTAGAATATATTAGGCTAGATAGACTATAAAAGTAGTAAAGTATAGTTTTTAGTAAAAATAGCTTCCTTTTTAAGCGTAGTTGCAAAAAAGTGTGCACTATATAATAAATAGAAATTGCAATATTACTTTTAATAGATTAGGTATAGCGTAAAGGGGTTTAGTGTGTATTAAAGGCTGCACTAGTACAAGTTTTTATTGCACTGCAATTTTTAGTGCAAATAAGTAGTACTTAAAAGCTAATACTATACCTAATCTATAAAGTATAGTATTATAACTCTTACTTATTATATAGCGCTTACTTTTTTTATAAATAAAAGTAAAGTTAATACAAAAGTAAATTATACAACGTAGTAAAAAAAGTTAGTATAAAACTATAGTTTAAGTGCTATACCTAGCACTATAACATAGTATTAAGGCAGTAAAATTTATATAATACTAAGCTAGCTAAATAGATTATTAAGAAATTTTTAACAATTACTATAAGTAGACTTAATATATTATTATTTAAAAATTATAGTAATATAATTATTAATTTTTAATAGTAACTAACTTGTTTAAGTAATGCTAAGCAGGTTAAATTAAACTAAAATAAGGCATTTAATTAGGTTTTTAAGCTTTATAAACTATTGTTATTAAATTATAAATAAATACTTAGCTTAAAATTAAAAGCTTAATTTAGTTATAAATTTATGCTTTAACTAATATTTTCTTAAATAAAAGTAAGTAACTTAATTAGTAATAGTATATAAAATATTAATTAAAGTTATAATTTAGTAAGTTAGCTTGCAAAGAAATTTTAAAATTATAAATTATAGTTTTTAATAAAACGCAATAGTTTATAGTAAGAAGCTATAAATAATAGTTCTAAATATATAATACAAATATAAAAAAACGCCTTTTTTTTATATAATTATTTTATAGTAAGCTATATTAACTACTAATTTATAAACTGCAATAGCTACTAAAAAAGTTTATATAACGCCTATTAATAATCTTTTTAATTCTGCCTTTTATTTTATTATTTTATTAATATTTATAAAAAGTACTTAGTAGTATAGCTTTTTATATAAAACTAGTATTTTAAACTAATACTAGTAAGCGTCTAAATACTCTAGTAAGCTTAAATAAATTTTTTAAAACTTAAATACTAAGCTTTTTAGTATACTAAAGTACTTTATTTTTAATTAATTTTTTTTTTAAAACTTAGACTTTTTTAGCAAAAAGCTCTGCTAGAAAAAATTAAATATATTAGCTATATTTATTATTAGCTATTAAATGTAGACTTTTTACTACAGCTTAACTATAAGCTAAAAGGTTTTTATTACTAAATAGTAAAATAAGCTTAAAGCCTTCTATTTAGCGCTTTAAAATAAAAAGCCTATTTAACTATATTAAATATTATTTTTGTGCTGCTACAATTACTAGTAATTTAATAATTAAAAGTAATAGCTTTTTATAACTATAAAAATTGTATAAACGCTTAAATAGGACAGAAACTCTAAAAAAAAAGTAAGTAATTAAGCTAAGTATATAATAAAAAAAAATAGTACTAGTAAAAAAAAAAGTAAAAAAATAGCTAAGCATTAGAGCTAGCATTATAAAAATTATTATTATTATTATTATTATTATTATTATTATTATTTGCGTTGCTATTCGCGTTGCTATTCGCGTTGCTATTACTATTTTACTATTACTATTATTACTTAAAAGCTTAGTATTAGTTAGCTATTAAGTAGTTTAATATTATATTAAATATTTACCTGCAAAGACAGGACCTAATATATTATTAATAGCTTATATTATTAGTATTTTTACTATGTATTACGTAATTTTATTTTTAGAATTGCTAAATAATAAACTTCTAACTCCTAATAATGTAACTTTAACTGCTAAAGCGCGGCTTTTTTAACAGCTTTAAGTATATATTTAAATATCTAGCGTAATATTAGACTGCTGCTAAGCAGCTAATTAATACTAGGCTTTTAGGCAACAATAATAGCAACGCAAATAATAATAACAACTTTTTTTGCAATGCTAGCTTTAATGCTTAACTGCTTTTTTGCTTTTTACTCTTTATTCTTTATTTTTTTCTTTTTCTAGCACTATTTTTCCCTTTTATTAATAAGCGCATGCCTAGTTTAATTACTTGCTTTTTTTTCTAAAGTTTCTATTAAGCTACTTAAATATTTATATAATTTTTATAGCTGCAAAAAGCTATTACTTTTAGTTATTAAATTACAGATAATCGCAGTAGCCTAAAAATAATTTTTAGTATAGTTAAATAGGCTTTTTATTCTAAAGAGCTAAGTAAAAGGCTCTAAGCTTATTTTACTAGTTAGTAATAAAAGCCTTCTAGCCCGCAGTTAAGCCGCAGTAGAAAGTTTATATTTAATAGCTAATAATAAATATAGCTAATATATTTAATCTTTTTTATTCTAGCAGAGTTTTTTGCTAAAAAAGTTTAAGTTTTAAAAAAAAATCTAATTAAAAGTAAAGTACTTTAGTATGCTAAAAAGCCTAGTATTTAAGCTTTTAAAAATTTATTTAAGCTTACTAGAGCATTTAAATGCTTACTAGTATTAGTTTAAAGTACTAGTTTTGTATAAAAAACTATACTACTAAATACCCTTTATAAATATTAATAAAATAATAAGGCAAAAAGTAGGAAATTGTTAATAAGTATTATATAAACGGCGTTAGTAGGTATTATATAGTTATTAGTAGTTAATATAGCTTGCTGCAAAGGCACAGGCAGATAATTGTATAAAAAAAATATTTTTTTATATACGCATTATATATTTAGAACTGCTGCCTGCAGCTTCCTACTTTTAACTATTCCTATTAATAACTATATAAAATACTACAGCCTATAATTCTTGCAAGCTAACTTGCTAAACTAAAGCTTTAATTAATATTCTGCATGCTATTACTAATTAAATTATTTACTTTTATTTAGGAAAATGTTAAATAAAGCGCAAGCTTATAACTAAACTAAGCTTTTAATATTAAGCTAAATATTTTCTATAGTTTAATAATAGTCTGCAAAGCTTAAAAACTTAACTAACTATTTTATTTTAGTTTAATTTAACCTGCCTAGCATTGCCCGAACAAGTTAGTTACTATTAAAAATTAATAAGTAAGCAGCTTTTGCCCTGCCTGCAAATAAATTATTATAACTGTAACCTAGTTATATTGCTATAATTTTTAAATAATAATGCATTAAGTCTGCTAATAGTAATTATTAGTTTTAATAATTTATTTAGCTAGCCTAGTATTGTATAAACTTTACTGCCTTAATACTATATTAAAGTATTAAGTATAGCACCTAAACTATAGTTTTATACTAATTTCTCTTACTGCGTTGTATAATCCGCTCTTGCGTCAACTTTACTTTTATTTATAGAAATATTAAATATTTAAATATATACTTAAAAACTATTAAAAAAGCTAACTTTTAGTAATTAAAGTTATATTATTAAAAGTTAGAAGTTTATTACTTAGCAATTCTAAAAATAAAAGTATATAATATATAGTAAAAATACTAATAATGTAAGCTATTAATAATATATTAGGTCCTATTTTTGCAGGAGCGCTTACTTTTTATAACTATACTTAAGGGGAAGCTAATTTTACTAAGTACTATAAGTAAAGTATTTTATTTTGCAAACTTACTACAGAACTGCGTAGGAGTCTAAGTTAATTACAAACAAAGTCTAGAGCATAATAGTAGGATTAATTAGCTAATACTTGCTCTTGCTCTTATTCTGCAGGACTAGTAGCTAGGGTAGGACAACTTATTGTCTCTAATTTAATCGCCCCTAAAACTACTGCATACTGTGTATTTTAAAAGCTGTTGTACATAAAAAGCTGCTGCGTTATGCTAACGCCTTAAGGCTAGGCAGCGCATGCATAGTAAGCTCTAATTACTAGACAGCAATATTGTTCGTACCTTTTGGCCCCCACTTCAGCCGTTGCGTAGAGTGTACTAATTATAAGCTTGTGGGAGCGCGGTAGACAAACATGCTATCTCTGTAGGGCGCACTAACATTGCGCGTCCTCGAAGCTGCAGAGTTCTGGCATTAGTACCTATGTTTCCTCTGAATTTTGATCCTCCGCACTATGCATGCCCTTCCCCGTTCCGTCAATCAAGTTTTACTATAGCATCGTTGCCTGCTCCGAATAGGCTTAGGCTGAGAGTCCCCTCACCCTCCACTATCGCACATCATTGAGAGTGGATATAGACATGCTCTGTTGTACCCAATCACTTCCAGACTCTGTTCGAACATGTGTGAAGCCGGGTTTTACACACGAGGACGTCGCCACATGACATGCATGCGTCTCCTAGAGGCAGCTTACGCCGCGGACATTTGGCCCCCAACGTAGCCCCACTTGCCTCGTCAAGGCAGACCTAGTTGTCAGCATTCCGCGGATGTCTCCCCTCAAGTACAAATGGCTTTGTCCCCTTCATCTACCCAGTCGTTCTATTGTCTCACACAAGTCGACTGCGTCGTAGCACATGGTAGATTATCTGGATTCGTGTCCCTGCTATTATCTTCGACATGACGAGACAAAATGAGCCTATGCAGGAGCAGGAGCTTATAGAAATACCGTTTGTGCGCCACTTAGCACATTGAGATAATTTTCTGACATCTATAGAAATGGAAGCGTCACTACTGGGCTTCTGGATTTCGAAATTCCAAGGTTGGAGCGCGCGCAGCCCCTCAATGAGCCAAACTCAAAATATCGAGATTTTTTCAAACATATCGGATTTCAGCTGCCAGACTATATTACCGGTAGCGCTTTCTCTTGGAGATCACCAAAAGAGCATCCGAAAGTCGCTGCATATAAAAGCCGGCGCATAGCAGCCTTAAACAGTCTGCTTCACTTTATCCCAGTGAGCGGTGCTCTCGTCCTCCTGGTTTTGTTCTGGACACAATGCTGGGTCGGCGGTAACTCTGATAACGGAACATCTCTACAATTTGCTGCTAAGCTACACGAGTTGCTAATGCAAGCGTCACTTGTTGATATCTTGTTACATGTTATTCGCTTCCAGGCCATCAGCGGTTATATACCATTAGGCGCACTCTCAGGAGCTGCGAAAGCTCCTCAGTTGTCCTACTTATGGTCACTAGACTTCTTTTCAGCTATTCTTAGTCCAGCTTTTAGTGCACGACGTAAAGTGGCATTCACCTTATCAACATTGGGTTTACTGTTGATGACGGCAGTCGTCGGTCCGTCATCAGCTGTGTTGATGATTCCTCGACCTGATATGCCACATACAAATCGAACCGTCGTACGCTATTCCAACGTGACAGAATCTTCGATATTCCCTGTTCAAATTGACAACCACACTGCAGGTGGTGTGATGAATATGTGAGTCGTGTATTCCGCAGACTTATCCCCGGAGCTGACGGTGGCCAGCACAAGATCGAACGAGCTCTCACGATCAAGTTATGTGGACGTCAATACAGCTGATGGACTGCGGACCAACGGGTACTCTTGGGGCAGTGACTACAACCTTCATTTCGACATCGGACGATTCCTTCGGACTGCGTACCAAGTCTCCTTAGATTCCAATTCGACCTTGGGAAACTACATCGCAACAATCCCAACAATCTTAAGCGCATTGAATCTGCTTGTCAATAGTCCTTTCAGCAGAGAGGATGGAAATAACGACGGGCCTTACATCACTAGAGCAAAATCTTTCAACGCAAGATGGACAACTTACACATCGCAGCCATTTGTGATGGTCAAATGTTCATACATGCAATCGGCAAAATACGTTGAGAACGTGTATTACATTCGAGACGATGATTCGCAAAGTCCATTACATGATGCAGCCAACGTACTGGGACCCTATCTAAGGAAATACGCGAACCGGATCGACGCTAATGTGTCCACTATTCCACCGCTGTGGATGACATCCCCTGACAGCTCAAAAAATCTACTTATGGTGTATCTTGCTTTTCCAGAGGCCAACTGGCTTTCAACATGCACGGTAGCTGCATTCTGGCATAAAACTTCTACAACCATGGTTCTTTTGAACTCAGACATTACGATACAGACTAAGCCACTGGAGAGCGGGGAATATCTAGTGAAGAGTAGCATGACAGAGATTGTCATTGATGCTGGCTTCGTGTCTTCGCTAGGCCTGCCCTGCACAAAGTTGAATTCAGGAGATATCCATAATCTAGCTTTGTGTTTCGCCGCTGCTCTCTCCTGGATTCCCGCTTCGGTGCGGCTCGCAAGCGGGGATTTTGGTATAAATTACGAGTTATACAAAGGGTACAATGGATCCGAGCTGAACGACTCCTCAAGACTGTCCACGTTCAAACTTATCGAAACAATCGACGGTTATGGTTACGGGGCAACCGATACATCCATCCGCCTCTCCGTCGCCGTCATACTCACTTACTGCATCATCACTATCGTTTACGTCTCCTATATAATCATTACTGGTCACACATCTATAGCCTGGGATAGCGCGACCGAACTTATTATGTTAGCTCTTCAATCTAAGGAACCTGCCGGCCTCGGGCACATCTCTGTAGGTCTAGACTCGATGGAAACCTTTCGCAAAAGCGTCGGAATTAGGGTCAGCACTCTAGACAATGGTAGTACAGGCCAGCCAGTTGAGAAACTGGAATTGGTATTTGAGGACGATGAGGAGGCTGAAAAGAGGGGGTTGTTAAAGATTGAACTCGGTAAAGCGTACTGAATGTGGGTAAGTGAAAGATGTGCCAAGATTAATAACATTGTTTTTATTATAAACTGCATAGTATATTTCTTTTAGGTGCGTATTGTATTAGATATATACAAATAGTAAGTATAATAAGCTTATATGTACTAAAAGCACAAACGCAGGTAATTTATTCCTTAAATTAGAATATAGTAATTAAAGGGTTAATAAGAGAAAATAATATTTCCAAGTATCTAGAACTAGTATTTTAGAAAAGGGGGACTACGTTATATTATGCGCTTCTAGTTACTTAGCTAGTAATGCTAGCGCTTTAATAAGTATTAGTATATAGTACCTAAAATTAAGTTTTTTGTATAAATATGTTGCTTTTTTTTACGCATTTCTTTACTCTTAATATATATACACTACTAATATAGCTGCTTATACTAAGGTTCCTTAGGAGGTTTGGGATAAAATTACTATATATCTCTTTCCTGTAGTTACTTTTACTACTACTAAAGATTTTAAGTTCTAACTTAGAGTATTTAATAAAGTATAAAGTACTATTTTTAAGTTAAATTTATAGCACAAGAGCCCTGCTAGTAAGAATGCAAATATAGTGCTTTTTAATATTAGACTAGATTTCCTAGAAAGTATAAAAATTATTTTAACCTATTTATCTGTAGTAGTATATACGCGTGCTTATTATTATTATAATATCCTTTTTAATTGCGTAAGCAAACTTTGAGGAAATATCTACTATATTTTTTATTATCCTAGTAGATAAACTCGATATTATTATAAAGCAAACTCTTGTTAATTTTCTTCTAGGCATTTAACTTAATAAAATTTCCGGGTTAGATACTAAAAGCACTTATAAAAATAATTCTAAATAATAACTGCACACGCATACGCAAGTATATACCTTAGTATTTATTATATACTTATAAAAACAAATTCAAGTTTTTAGCAACTAGTAACAATATAATTAGCTTAGGTTTATTAGTAGTAGAGAAAAGTTCTAACTTTACAAAATCCTAATTTATATAGATATTTAGCACCTTGTTATTAGCTTTACTATATTTGTAGTTAGTATATAGCCTAATAGCATACTTAGCGTTGCTTTACTAAAGTTATACTATACTACTCTACTAAAAGTTTAGTGCAGCTAGCTAACTACAATATTTCTAAATTAGATATCTAATTTAGCGCTAGGAATGCTTCTATTAATGCCTACTATTAGCTCAAAGCAAATAGCTTTAAAAGTTACTTTTAACTATATTACTACTACTATAGCTAGGTTATTACTAATTTAGCTAGTAGGTAAATATACAATAGCAATATTGTAGCTGCTTATTAACTCTAAAAATATAAGTTATTATTATTATTAGTAAAGTTATGCTTAAAATTGCAGTACTTTTTATTAAGTATTTCCTAAATAGCTACCTGCTTAATAGGCAGGGCGTATACCTAGTTTACTATATAGTTTTTATAGTGCAGCTAGCGCGCTATAGCCTACTTTATAAAAAATAAAAAAACTACTAGTAGTAAAGTAGAAACGTAGAGGGACTATTATAGTAGTAGTAGTTTGTATATAAAAAAAATAAGTATTTAAAAAGTAAAGTTGCACTAGTAGCTTAACTATAGTACTTACTATTGCTAATTTCTATAGCCTGCATAGCAGCCTGCTGCCTGCAGCTATTTATTACCTATTAATATATAGGCTAAATTGCAAGCTAGTTTGCAAATACAGTAGAAGTATAAATTTGCACTAATTTACTATACTAATACCTAAAGCCTACGCAATACAAGCAGTTTACTTATTAGCTAGGTATATATTATTAAATATAAATTATAGGGTTATACCTACTTTAAGCTGCAAGTAAGTAAGTAGTATACTATATTAAATATAGCTATAAAAATTAACTCCTGCAAACTTTAATGTATATATAACTAATTATTACAATTATAGTAATACTCTACTTCTTGTTACTAACTTAGGTACAGAAACGCTAGGTAACTTAGTACTTAGCTAAATTATATATATTTTAATAAGTTTTAGTAGTTATAGTATATTTCTAAGTTACTAAAACGCCTAAAACAAATTTTAATAATAAAATCTAAAAATAGTACTAAGTATATAAATTTAAGCAATAGGCCCTTATAGTATATTATATTTAACTTAATAAAGTATTTTACTTATATTATAAAAGCAATTTTTATTTTACTTTATAATACTTATAACTAAACTATTTTTTGTAAACTAATATTTTTTTATATTTATTTTAATGCCTATTTTTAAGAACTAACCTTGCGTTTTATTAGTACTAGCTACTTCTAGTTTTATAAATCCTTATATTAGGAGTAGAATTTTTTATATTATTATAGCTGCTCTTATAGCTATAACTAAAATATAATAAAATATTTAAAATTAAGTCGATAAAAGAAAAAAAAGCTAGTAATTAGTAAATTAAAAATACATAGTACTTTAAAAAGTAAATTAAAATTAAAAATAAGTATAGTTAGTTTAGCGTGTACTAGTGTTATGGACTAGCCTTAGGATTATTCTATTTTAAGCGTAAATAATAGTATTGTATACCTTAAAAAAGTACAGAAATTTCTAGCTATTTATATAGGGGTTTATTGCTAAGGTTTGCTAAGGTCCTCGGTCCGCAAATGCTAGGGCTTGGGCTAAAGCCTAAGCTATAACAACTAGTATTACTATATAAAGCTTAAAATATATATAAAATAATAATTTATTAATTTATATAGCTATTAAATAAAAGTAATATAGTTAAAAGTAATAAGTACTAAATTATAAATAAATTATTTTACTTATAATAGCCCTAAATAATTACTATTTAATTTAAAACTTTTTTTTTTTTTTAAATATTTTTGTAATTATTACTTTATAACTTTTTTTATTAGTCTAGAAGTTTACAAGAATTTAAAAAAGTTAGTAAAAGTTTTTAGCACTGCACTAGTAGGGGTTGCTACTAGAGCGTCTAATTAATAAGATAAATATTCGCATGTTAATAGAGTTAATTAGTTATTAGTTATACCGCATTCTATAGCGTTGTCTTATTAATTAGACCCTCGCGCTATTAAGTTAATGCTTTATATAAGTTTATTGAGGATTATGCGCTAATTCATGAAACAATTAAATACTTCTCTATGCTAATAGCAAATTCGTAGCACACTTGACTAGCTACCTGCCTTAATAAACTTCTGAATTTGAACTCACCGACCAAGACACAGCATTGACTAATCGTGCTCATTGAGCCGTAATAAAGGAGAATAATAAGTCTGAAATAGCCGAAACTCCTTATTTAAAGCTGCCTCAATTACTCGAGCGCATTTGTACCCGGCAACCGTCCCCAGGAGCTACAACAAGCGTCAATATTTGCTTCTCTTCGCTAATCCTCACAGGAGGCTCTCCAGCCGGTACACTAAGGAATGGAAATCGCTGAACAAGTCTTGCAGTCGTATAACCCGCTTCAAGAAGAGCGAAGTCCTGCCCCAAGCATACTCGAGGCCCTGCATTAAATGGGAGATATCCGTATCCAACGTCCCGTAATAATTGGCCATCTTCCCAACGCTCGGGTCGAAAATCGAGTGCATCTTCTCCGTAAATGTCTTTGCGTCGGTGCATTGCGTATACGCAGTAACCAACTGCTTCTCCTTTTCTAATTAGAATTGGTGATTGGCCGTCCGGACCCCCTCCGAGAGGAAGTGTGGTGGTTTTCAATGCCGCACGGGAGTTGACTGGAACAGATGGGTATAGTCGAAGGACCTCTTTGAGAACGAGATCGAGGTACCGCATCATCTTCAATTGCTCGCGGGTAGGTTGAGGTGCGTCCTCTCCTAGTCCTACAACGTACTCAATCTCTTTGCGTAGTTTGTCCAGAACCCGCGGATGCCTCGCTAGAAGTTTCAATGTCCATGATAGACAGCATGCAGTTGTGTCCCTGCCCGCTAACAGTACATTTAGACATTGATCACGAAGTTCCTTCTTGTCCCGTGTCTCTTGCAGAAGGGCGTTGATGAATACGTATTGCTTCTTCTGATCGTCGACCGATTTTTCGTGTTGTGGCGCGTCAGCAGCGTCTAATGCCCTCTGGATTGCATGATCAACGAAACGATGGGAAATCTTACACGCCCGACGAAATTCAGGAGTATTTGCAAGCCAGTAGAAGTCGCCCAATCGACCACGATGAGACAGATAGTCCTGGCCGAGGTTGAACGCCTTTCCAAATTCAGATTCTTGTCCCGCAATTTCTCTGCTTTGCAACGAGCTCAACGTCTCCCCAAAGAGGAGAAAAGTAGTGGTGTCGAACGTTAGCCGAAAGAAAAGTGGCTGTAGATCAATGATGCCATCTGCTGGGACATTGCTCAACAAGCTTTCGACGCACTTTTTGATCTCCTCAAAGTTTTGATAGCGATTGGATGCAAATTGGGGGCGGAGAAGTGCACGCGAGTGCTTCCATGATTTGCCATCTTGGGTGAAGATACCGCTTCCCATCAATGGTGCGAAGTGCTTTGGGCGTAGTCCAAGGCCAAAGTCTTGGAAGTGTTAGCAGTGCGTCCAGCTTGCACTAATAGAAGATATCTAACCTTCAAATTGAACGGACAGAATCTCTTCTATGTTCTGGGGCTCGACAGTATTGATTCCTCGAGCCCCCACTGTTTTCTTGCGTTAGTATCTAGACTTGGCAGCCTGTGACAGAGCTAGGAGAACAAAAGTAGCATTGTGTGAAATCTTCTTACGAAGCTGTTGCTCATGTGTTGTTCCACTCGATTCTACTACTTCTAGAAAGAATTGCAGAATAGTTTGTGCCTTCGCATGGTGAGCAGCCTTGAGAAGGAAGTCCAGGCCTTGGGGCCATCTCGCTGCCCATCTTCGTGCCGGCTTGCACCCCATTCGCGCTGCATATTGGTCGTCTCGCTTTAAAATGTTAGCTGTCTGTTTCAGATGGATCTAAGGTCCGCGCCGTACCCGTCTTTGGACTTGGTGTTGCCAGAATCGATACCCAACAAGGCTGAATATCGCAGCAGCAACAAGCAGCGTTCTGGGTGTAAGAGGATTTTCAAAGCGCCTAATCCAGTCCAGCAATTCTACGTCAGATAAATTTCGCTTCATATTTGAGTGGTAACTAGCAGTTGAGGTGGGTGTGTTTTATGAACTCAGGTGGCCTCTAGACGGCTCAGCACTTTTGTTTTTCTGGCCCCCAAATTACAAAGACTTTATGTGGTTGCATGTGACATTTCACTGCATACTGGTACCCAATCAAAACTTTGGCTGTGACACAAGCCTGCGACAGAGCCCTGATTTTAGACAAACTCGTTAACGCTCGCTTCTGGTTGGCTAAATCCATGTTTGAGTTGTTACTTGCGTGTAACCCAAAGATCAGCTGTCGTTTGCCTCCTACGACATAGGCAATGAGAAGGGTTTTTGAGTGGATGAACTGATAACGACGGTGGAACAGATGAATCTCCGGCTGAAGTCCCCCCGCTTGGCCGTTCGCAGCTCAAGGTTCACAGCCTGCCATCGTTGCGCACTCAATATCGCTGTCTAGACTTTTCTGAGCCTCCTTTCACGCAACGATTACAGGAAGCTATAAGACTGCCTCTCTACCTCAGAAAGTTGAATTGTGGAACAAAATGCTACCGCAGACTTATCCCTAATCATACAATCGTCATGGCTGAACCGGTGTCAATCATCGCTGCCGGAGTTGGCATCGCTGACGTTGCTTTTCGAGTCATCAGCTATCTCAAGGATGTCCAAAAGGCTGTAGAAAGCATCGAGGATGATATTTCAGGCTTGATCAATGAAGTTGAAGGCTTGAAGCAAGTGCATGGGCATTTAGAACAGGAATTCCTCAAGAACATCACCAATGACGCCTTAGGAAAGGAAGAAAAGATGCTGTGGTTCAACACAGGTCAGGCGCTACAGAACGGTCAGAAGCTTGTCCAGAAGCTTGAAGTCTCCGTGAGGCAAATCTACGGCGACAGTCGATCAATCACCGGTAAAAGGGACGGTCTAATGAAACAACACCGGAAAAGGGCAAAGGGAGGAGTCATCTCTGGATTTAGGGACCAGATCGGTACTTATCATGGAGCCTTACAGATCTGGCTTAGCTGTATTGACATGTGAGTGAATCTCTATGGAACTCTGGCTACCTGCGGCGCTAATGCTAACGCGCATCCAGGTACTCGACTCGAGAATATCGCGAGAACCAAACGGAGCATCTTAAACAGCTAGCTCATTTGATGCAAGAGCTCGAAAGCAAACTGGAAGACACTCAGTTGCGTCCATACCGAACCACGCCAGCTTCCTTAGTATACAATGACTTCACTTCTATCTCTCTGTCGGTACTTAATCAAATTGGCAAGTCAATCAACAGCCTCGGGAACAGCGTTACGCATGGTCAATCGAACACGAATAAACATTTCGATACGCCCAAACCCGTCGAGACATTCTACACCGGCCGAGCAGAGCAGGCAGAGCAATTAGGCAACTGGATATTGCCCCAAGCATCTCAGAGTAAGGCCAGATCATCTGAAATGACACACGAAAAGCAAAAACGCTTCGTTGTTTATGGTGTTGGAGGTTCAGGTAAAACACAATTCTGTTGCAAGTTTGCAGAGGATAATCGAGATCAGTAAGTCTATAGTAGCCATTGGGGAAATCATACAGCGCTAACTGGGCGAAAATAGTTTCTGGGGTGTTTTTTGGGTTGATGGAAGCAGCCGTCACCGTCTCAAACAAACCTTTTCCCATAATGTGTCAATAATTGGGGGCGTAGAGGCAAACGAGAATGCCGCGCTACATTGGCTATCAAACCTTAGTGAACCCTGGCTGCTCATTATTGACAATGCTGATGACCCTGACCTCAAGCTTGATGAGTATTTTCCACGAGGAAATCGGGGACATGTCCTCATTACAACGCGGGACCCAGTCAATAAGTCATTTGGGACGGTCGGTAACAGATTCTTTGAGTTTCAAGGATTAAATAAGGATGAAGCAAGCTGTCTACTTCTCAATGCTGCTGGACAAATACAACCATGGAGTTCCGCCATGTCCAATGTCGCCACAACCATTGCGAAAACACTTGGATATCTTGCTCTGGCGATCACCCAGGCAGGCAAAACAATACGACAAGGGTACTGCAAGATTCATGAGTACTTGGATTTCTATGAGCGCCAATGGATAAAGACGAGACAAAGGAGACTAGCCGTGAAGGAGAGAGATGCGGTGGACAATCTGAGCGTCATCACAACCTTTGAGCTCAATCGCCAAGCTATAATAAATATCCGAGATAAGGAGGCTTCCAGAGATGCACTACAGTTACTCAACACTTTTGCGTTCTTGCACAATCAAAACATTCGCTTCGACATGCTAAGAAGAGCAATAACGAATTCAAAACTTGAGAGTATTCAGCAAGAGGAAGACAAGGGAAATGAAGCACAGAGTCGTGCCACTAGTCCACCACCTGACTGGTCAACATGGTGGAAAGAGACCTCGTTCAAGGTCCTAGCCTTTATCTATAAAAACCGAAGCCCACTCGTTCTCCCTAGTGTACGTTATAATTGCCTCTATTCTGAGTGTCTGAAACTATATGGCTGATGACCAACAGGTTATCCGAGCCGGTCGAATATCGGAGGATTTTGACTCTGATCGTTTACGTCTTGCTCTTCGGCAGCTCACGCGATTCTCACTAATCTCACACAGCGAGATTACTGACAGTTACTCGATCCACCCCCTTGTTCACAAGTGGGCACGTGAAAGACCTGATATGAGTATTGCAGAGCAAGGGGTTTGGTCCGAAGCTGCAGCGACACTGCTTGCGCATTGTATCTTGATACCGCCTCTTGGCAACACAATAGAGGACGAGGGTATTCGAAAATACCTCCTACCCCATATCGACCATGTACATGAATGCCAGACGTCAATAGATCAACGCATGCGAGACAAGCGTATGGCTCGAATGAGACCATGGCCTGTATTCGAGGGTGGCTTTAACCGAGAGAAAGCACTAATGTATGCGAAGTTTAGTATCGTTTACGCCCAAAATGGACGCTGGGAAGAAGCGAAGAGACTTCAGGTAGCGGTCAAAGACTTCACAATGCAGGTTTTGGGCTTGCAAAATGCCATAACTCGTCGTATCACGCTAGCGCTCGCAGGAACTCTGTACAATCTCGGTCAGAGTGATGATGCTGCCGCTCTGCATGAACAAGTCCTAGACGCTTGTATGGCCCATATGGGTACTGACCACCATGACACACTGGTGGCAAAGTGCACACTTGGAGACTCCCGATATTTGCAAGGTCGCTTTAGCGACGCAAAAAAGTTACAGGAAGAAGCTGTTGCTGGATTGACAGAACTACACGGCCTCCACCACGAAGACACGCTCAATGCCATTGATTGTCTTGGGCGAACGGTTTTGATGTTTTACACAGAGGACTCCATCAAGAAAGCTCGGGAACTTCACTTTAGGGCTATCGATGGAATGAAAACGGTGCATGGAGACGACCATTTGCGCACCCTCATAGCATGCGAAAACCTCTGTGCAACCGCTGTGCGAAGCGGTGATCAAGCTCATCTCAACCATGCCCACGAAATGATGAATGAAGTGGTTGAGATAAGAAAAGAGAAGCTGGGCAGAGAGCACGGATATACACTCCTCGCTATGACGAACTTAGCCCTCATCAAGAGTGGTTTGGGCAACCCGGAAGATGCCGAGGAGCTAATTCTTGTGTGTTTACCAATTGCTGAGCGTAATCTAGGCATCGATCATCATGCTTGTCTTTGGGGCCGCTATCATCTCGGGAAGATATGGGTGCAGCAGAAAAGATGGGGAGAGGCAGAGCAACAGCTCGTCGATGTCACGGAACGACAACGCAATCTTCTTGGGGGTAGGGGTCAGTATCATCCGGATAGACTGGGCGGGCTTGTAGAGCTGGCTGCGATATATAACGCGCTTGGAAAAGTAGAGGAATGTAAGAGGGTGGTGGCTGAGGCGCTGCACGGGTTTGAGAGGATTAGCACGACTGAGCACCCAGTTGCGAAAAAGTTGAGGGGGAATATGGAGAAGTGGATGGAAGAGAGGAGGAAGAAAGACGGAACACATTTGTTGACGTCGACATAATATACCAGCGGATTAGTAATCAAGTGAATGACCTTTAGCGAATCCCTACTGTTGTACCGCTCTCCGCGATCAACGAGCGAACCTGACAGCTTTGAATGTTTTGACAGTACAATCTCCAAACTGGAAACTGGTTTTGCCGATTTGAGGCTTGCACTCGGGGTTTACCGGTACTGAGGTAAGTCAGCCAACGAGCCGCATCGGCCAACGAGCTACCCTACCAAACTTTTTAATATATAAAAATAAGGCTGTAGAGCCACCTATAAAAACTATTATTACAGGATTTTTTAAAGTATTAGTAAATAAAAGCTTGCAATTAATTTATACTATTTAAATTTTTATAGAAAGTTAATTTAGCAGCTGCGCGCAGTAGTTTTAAGTAAAAGCAGTAGTAGCTATAATACATTTAAACTACTACTTTTAGCATTTATAATATAATAATGCTTTGCTATATTTAAATTTATAAAATATAAAATTATTTGCTTATATTTATTTACTTTATTATAAAATTTTTATAAAATTATAGCTTTTTTTTTTTATTACTTTTATACGCGTATAGTAGTTTATTTTTAAACTACTACTATGTGCTCTTTTACAGCGCGCTTTTTAGTAAGTAACTATACTACTTTTACTTTTTTTATAATTTTTTTTTTATATAATATTGCTACTGCTTTTAGCTTTTTTATTTTTTTTTTTTAAAATTATTTAGTTTTATTTTTATATTATTTTACTATATTGCACGCGCAAGCTTCCTAAATAGTCTTTAAATTTTAAAATACTATAGCGCTATAAAATTTTTTATACTATTAAAAATCTAAAAGTTTATTTTTACTTTTATGCCTTTTTTTAGTTAAAAGCGCATTGCGGAAATTTTTATTTTTATAGTAGAAAAACTTATTTTGCACTTAAAAAGAATATAGTATAAAGCCTAACTATTTAGCTTTAATTTTTGCTTTATTTTTTATAGTAATTTTAAATAAATTGTAGAGCTAGTTCTAAGTATTTTTATTACTATTTTTTCTATTTATTAACTTTTAATTTTTTTGTTATAGTTATATTTTAAATTATTATAATATAATATTAGTATTAAGTAGCTTAACGCTTATAGCTTTAAACGCTTTTTATATATTTATAAAAGTAAATATAGTATTATAAATAGTTTAAAATAATAGGAAAAAGTTGCCTTTATTTATAAAGATAAGGCTTTAGCTATAATAAAGGTAGTATAAAAGCTTAGTTAAATAGGCAGTTAAAAAAAGCAAAAAAAGCACTATATCTAAAAGTTATAAGCTATAAATTAAATAAAAAAGAAATATTATTAAAAAAATTTTATTAGTATTGCAAAAATTTATAAAATTAGTAGTAAAGTAGCTGCTATAGCTATTAAAGATAAAAATTTTGTAATTTGCTTATGCCTTGCTTTTTATATGCTAATTAAAAACTTATTTAAACTAAGCTAAACTAATATTATTATTAAACTATTTAGAAAAACTTATTATAAAAAAAATTTAGTATTTTTTAGCCTTTATATTGCGTAACTAAGTGTTGCAAAATTTTCTTTTTTTTTTAAAAACTATACTTAAATTTACTGCGCTCTTATCTATATAAATATATACTAAAATTATTATCTACTTTTAGTTACTATTTTATAAAGCTATTATAATTTATTTTTGCTTTTAAAGTTACTTTAAAAAGACCTATTTAAAGCGTAAAGTAATACTAATAAAAAATTTTTTTTTATTTATATTATAAATATGGCGCGCGTTAATATTATACTTTTAAATTTTTAAATAAAAAAAGTTAAAATATAACTTATAGCTATGCTTAGTATTAGTAAAAAACTGTTTGCAATTTATTTTAGTAGTATATTTTAAAGTAAGAGTATTGCAGTATCTTCTTAAAAAGTAAATAATTTATATATTAAAAATTTCCTACTTTAATACTATAAAGGCAAAATTTTTTATTATAGCTTTTATAAATAAAAGTTTATAATTAAATAATTTTTATATATACTACATAAGCTCTAATTTTTATTATAAAATAAAATATATTTATTATTAAGTTTCTTTTATATAAAAGTGCAATTTCTTTTAGTATCTTTGCACTAAAGTTATTTAATTAATACTAAATTTTTTTATAGCTGCGCAGTATAAGAGTTATTTTTTTAAATTTTATAAATTAATTGCTGCAATTACTTTTTTAATTAAAGTTATAGTAGTAGAGATATCGCGTAGTAAAAAAAGTGGGTTGAGTTTATTATAATGTTTAGGTGGCTCGTTGGCCGATGCGGCTCGTTGGCTGACTCACCTCGGTAGCGGCCGTGCTCCAAGGGCTAAAACAGAGCGCGTTTTTCTCTTTAAAGACCGAGTTCTATAACGGCTGAGCGAACGGCGAACGGAAACCCAAGCTATGCCGCTGTCATTGCAATGCCTGTTAACGACCAGATCCGATGGATGTTAAATTATTGATATCTCGCCGTAGCAGGTCCAGACGATTGTTGTTCAGTTCCGAAATGGGACTGCCGAGGTTCCGCCGCGCATTCCTCACGCCGACCACGAACAAATTCCCAGATCCTAACCAAACATTGTCGCACTTTCTCGTCTGGCGTACATGGTACCCCCATCCCCATGTCAGCATCGACACGGAAGTACATGAGCAAGCGACAGCGCCCTTGCGATTTCTGTCGATCACGCAAAACAGCATGTCGAATTGAAGGCCATGTGCCTTGCCGCTTGTGCGCGTTGCACGGACGGGAGTGCACCTTCATGGAGGCTGCTCAGCCGAGAAAGCGACCGACGACTTCGACAAGCAGTGAAGCGGTACTCTCCAGGCCAACAGTATCCTGTCTCGACCAAGTTGATAGCCCAAAGCCGGATACGTTAGCATTTCAACCGGTTCCTACTCCGACAACAGAAGCCTCCCCCCAAGATCATGATATGGCCTTTCCAGCCTCTCCCACGAACTTTTTGCAGGAAAGTCTACGCGGCGACACTTCGAACCAAGACCTTCTTTTCGCAAATCTTGCCAATCAATTCTTCGGTGAATTTGACGAAGTTGAACCTGATGCTCAGTATGGCCGTAATTACTCAAGCTTGGAGGGGGAGATGAGTCCTGGAAACTTGCATGCGACGGTGGAGGTACAAGGTACATCAGACTGGCCCGACACAAAACCAATTGAAACACAGCTAGACGCGAACGACAGTCTCAGTCCCCAGGCGCTAGGATTAAGTGGTGACATGGACCCCTACTTACTACAAAACTACCGATATGATCTTTCTGGTACCTTCCAGTTCAAACAATTGAACATACATTCTGTTTCTCAAGGCAGCGTTCCTACGCAATTTCTACTCTCTCAACCTGGATTGTTCTCCTTGTCAAGACAGGAAATGGGCCTCAGTCAGATCTCGTCTGAAATTTCAAGGGGAAAACTTGAGCTTTTAGTATCAGCCGATACAGGCATTCGGCTCATTGCACTATTTCGCAGGTTCATCCTGCCCCAGTATCCCATTTTTTCCGATTCGCTTTTCCCAGATCCGCAAGCTAGCCCGCCTTACTTGCTGGCAGCTATCTATTTGGTCGCACAGCCATTCGCTAGATTCGACGATGTATTGTCAATTGAGCTAGCATACGAGACTCTGAATAACCAGGCTCTTTTCAGGCTTGTTGACGAGGCTCTGCAATACGAAGCACACAATCCCAATTTGTCACTAGTGCAGACATTGCTTCTGCTCGTACTGCGACCCTCAACCAATCCTCTGGTCCTCGAATCTTCTTTCAAATGGTCTCTCCATGGTGCGCTCGTCTCTGCATCTCAAACCTTGGGCCTACATTACGATCCTAGCCTTTGGAACATTGCACAATGGCAGATTGCCTTGCGCCGTCGGCTATCATCCACCATATTCGCATTAGACAAGTGGTTGGCCTCTAGCCTCGGTAGGCCGCCATTGATAACGCGAGACTCCTGGCTTGTAACATCACTTACAGCTGCCGATGGTTACGCATCCTCCATGAGCTTAGGACTATGGTCCGAACATATATACTATGCCAAATTGGGTCCGCTACTAGGGGATGTTCTTCTGAAACTCTTGTAAGCCCTTTGCAGCATCGCTCGAGGACCAAAATTGACTTTTGCAGTTCATTACGTGCTATCCACGAATTAGCCTCGGATACTCAGAAAACTTTGGATGTGTCAAAAGAGCTTCTAGAGGAGTTATCTAAGTGGCACCAGGACTTTGTGCAGCACTCAAGCGACCGTTCAAAAGATCCTGCGTCTCTACCTACAATTTGCGCTCTGGGTTATCATTACGTACAAATGACGATCTTCCGCGCTATTATGCGACCGTTCGTCGCAAAATTGAACTCGAGCACTAAAACGACAGACGCTACGAACCAATTAACGAGGGATCAGCAAGACGTCATGGGCTTCGCCAGAACAGGAGTACGGTCTTCAACCACGGCAACTGCCAACTTTGTCAAGAGTTTGACCGAGGAACACTTTCACATATTTTGGCCCCACTGGAGCCAGGTGGCCTTCTCCTGCATCTGTTTTCTTGATCTGATGATGGCAATATCCTCGCCGGACACGCAAGAAGCCGTCACTTGGTTCCGGGATCTACACAACGCGCGCAGGGAGATGCGCCTCAAGTCGACTATGTTGCCTGTTCTTCGCTTAGGTCTGTTGAGAATAGATGCCATATTTTGGAAGGGCGTGGGCAAGGTTTTGCAATTACAGCCGCATGTGGAGGAAGCACTCAAAGCCAGCCTGGATCCAAGTGCAGGCTGAATAAGGTTACCGTTTATAGTATATCGACGCGATGGTCCAGAGATACGCATGAAACAATGAAACGTGACTTTATATGGAGCGGACCGTCTTCGCCTATCACTTCCGATACAAGCACGTCAGTAGCGGAAGGCTGCCTTGAACCCGTACAGAGATTACCACAGTACCAATTAGGCTGATCGAGGAGGGATTCATGGTGGTAACGAGATACGGCTTCATTTCAAATTGGGACTATAACCTGCTCTTCGCCTGCGGCAAACTCGACAACACATCTTCTACAGTACCTACTGCCTCATTTGCCATGCCGAGACCAGCTTGGAACCCAGTACCACTGGCGCCATAGTTGTGTACCAAAATGCCACTACCCGATCCATCAAGCGGAATACTCGTCCTCTCCACGCGAGCACCGCCCTCACGCGATGGCCGTAAGCCGGAAAATGCAGCCAAAACCTCCATTGCACCACCTGTAAGTATTTCAGGAAGTAGAGTCGTAGTGCGTTTCAGGATCGATTCAGATTCGCTTGAGAAAGTATCTCCAGTACTAGATGAATTATGTTAGAACTCGAATGGGTAGAAAAGGTCAGACGTAGGACTTACCCTACGCCCTTTTGCATGAATCCACCAAGGATGATATTTCCATTCGACTGCGGCCTTGGAATAATATACGTCTCATAATCTTTTCCATGGCGCATTACATTCTTGGCAATGTGTGGTGCTCTTGTGAGAAGAATCTGTCCCCTGGTGGGATAGCATTTTGAATCCTGGACGCCTGGTAGGTCACGCGCGCCGTTGCCGGTGCAGTTGAAGACAACTTTTGTCGATGGATGCGAGAATGCTGATTCGATGCTTGTGAGCTTTTCGCGAATAAAAGTTACGCCGTATTTCTCTTTCAGTAACCGGTGCAGATATTGGATATATCTTGGTGCGTTGACAGTGATGGTAGTGAAGGAAACTCCAAACTGACATCCTTCCGGGATATCTGATTTGGCGAGAATCTTGAACTGTTCCTTATGGTAAGCCCTATTTTCGCCCCTAAGACACAATGTATGTTTCGAGCATCTGCGTAGGGGCTGTTCCTTACATCTTTGAGGTATTCAGACATTGAATCGATCTTGGTACGCGATGGCATTTCGTCCCAGTACTCGAATGAAGGTGTTTTCGAAATGCAAGCTTCGACACCGTGTTCCTCGGCGAGCTTCATCATGTGGCCATAGCCAAGTTTGTCCCAGCGGAGAGCATTCGCATCGTTACCCGATATTGCGGAGAAGTTTGCTCCAGCCCTGGTTTCTTTAATTAGTTTGATGAACCTTGCAGCGTGAAGGATTTCGACGGACCAAGGCGATGTGTAATTTATTGACGTGTCTCCAGGTAAATGTTCTGCGATGACCGTGATATGTGACCCGTAGCCACGTTCCGCAAGCAAGAGCGCAACGTCTAGGCCAATCACACCAGCGCTATTGAAAGCACATTAGCTTTTTGACAATTTGCTATTTGTTTGTGCGAGAACTTACCCAACGATTACAATTGATTTTCCCATTTCTGTCTTGAGCTTGTTACCCTTTCCTATTTCTCACTGCGCAATGTCCCATTTATCAACCTGCACTTCTTGGTGGTTGCAAGCCTGCGCTGGACCCACCGAATGCCGACGCCGTCGGAAAAATCAAGGGTTGCCGCAGTTCCGCGTTGTGATCGGGCGTTTTTCACGGCGTCGGTTTTGATTGGTGGCGTTCATTTACCTGCGCCTATCAGTTAGCAAGCTAGTGAACGCCTATCTCGCTTGCTAACTCGCGCAAGTCAGGGCAGATAGCCTTTATGATCTGCTTGATTCATGGAGAGGAACTCATAGGGGCTTTCAAGGCACTCACAGCAAAGCACTCGATAATGCGCAAAGATCACAGTTTATCGAGGTCTGATTCGTACTAGATTTGGTTCATGAATCCAAAACCCAAGGCGTTTTCATTCGCTGTAATGGACACTACGTAGCAATCTGCTCGTGTCTTCTATGTACTCAAAGCTCTGCTTCAGTCCCCGCTCAGGATGGTTGTAGTGGCCGAAAGCATGAGGCATTCCAGCATAACGCTTTACCGTGACCTTATTCCCAGCCTTGCGCAGTAGCTCACCATAGTACTCTCCTTCATCTCTCTCGAGATCGAATTCTGCAGTGATGATGTGTGCGGGTGCCAGGTTGTCGAATGAAGGAGCCAACACTGGGGTGCAGATCCAGTTGTTCAGCGCTTCTCTTTGCTTCTCTATCATTCAATCAGCTGAAAGTCCCCAAAGAGTGTTGATTGAAACACAACATACCGACACTATCACCAAGCCAATACTTTAGAAACCACTTTTCGCGACCTAAAGGACCCCACGGTACATCGTGGAACAGATGCACACTTTGATACGGGCAATTTGATTTGTCGAGCTCCAATCCTTTCATGCAGTACCGCATATCAGTTGCAGGCACAATCATCAAATGTAATTTGAGATCGATACCTTCGTCGCGCGCGAAGTGTGCAAGAACAGCAGACATCTGACCACCTGCTGATAGCCCGCCAATCGAGACGCTATTGGGGTCGATGTTCAAAACTTGGGCGTTGGCTATGGCCCATTTGACTGCATCCCAGCAGTCATATATGCTCGTGGGAAAGGGGTATTCGGGCGCCATTCTGTAGTCTACATCGATGACTTTGATGTTGGCTTTATTGCACATGTGTCGACACCATGCGGCCTCACTATTTAGTCCGCCGAGTACCCATCCTCCTAAAACGTGTAAGTTTCATGTGAACAGCATCAATGTAGCGGTGCAGCCTACCTCCGTGGAAGTTCAAGTGAACTGGAAATGGGCCTGGCCCCTTTGGCGAATATACTCTGACCGTCATTTCTCCAGCCGGTGTCGTGACTGGCACCTGCATATCCTCAACGCGGAACACATCAGGACCTGGAATGTGTAAGTAAATCAACGGACGACCTCATTTTCCAATGGGAATTAGAGACTTACCGGCGCATGTAGGATAGGTAAAACTATACGCGGCGGGATTTTGGCGATACTCTTCAATCGACACTTCATCGGCCCTCACCATTTGTGCTCCATGAGTATTCCATAGCTCCACCCATTTGGGATCAAGTCCAGCAAGATGCTCTCTCTTAATGCCTAGCCTTGGTGCAGCTGTTTCTTGCGTTTGTGTTGCAGTCGTAGTGATTATGGTCATTGTCCTTTTTGTGGCTTGCAGAGGCGAAAGCAGGAAAGTGTTCGAAGGATAGGGCGTGCTCTCGAGTCCAATATTTGCAGATGGAAGCATGCATCAGGAAAGGCATCTTTACGCCAACAGTATGGAGTGCATGCTAGGCGCTGCGCCGATTGGTGGCGTTGGTTTAAGTCGAGGGCCGATCTCACTAGCGCGCTTGGCATTGATTGTCACCCATGTTGGCCGATCTAAAACCCTATCTGACCTCCCCACTAATCCTCCAGAACCCGTAATCATGGACCTGGGGTAATGCGCGCCGCTATCTGCAAAGCAGCGCGCATTTAAGACATGCTCTCTTCCATGCTCTAACATTCTCTGCCCACCATCAGTCGTTTGTGGTCTGATTCTCTTTCGTCGCATCATCCCGACACTTTCACACCATGGCCACGGACATTGAGACACAACGGAACGCCCTAAGCCGACATGATACGATTGAAGAGAAGATGCCGGTGGCGGATTCGGAACGGGCGAACTTGAGGCGGATCCCCGACAAGCTGCCAATGGTCGCCTTGTTGATCCTGGTTGTCGAGGTAAGAGGAAATCCCCATCAATGTCCGTTAGTAATTTACTGATGCGAAGAAAGCTCGGAGAAAGATTCACCTACTTCGGTCTCAGTGGTCCCATGCAAAATTATATCAAGTACGTTCGACTTCATTCATACCATCTCGTTCAATAGAGACTGACTACCAACAGCAACCCATATGCTCCTGGATCTGATCTCCCTGGCGCACTTGGTAAAGGCCAAGCCGTTGCTACAGCCCTCGGAAACTTCTTCAAGTTCTGGGCCTATGCTTCCACAATCATCGGAGCCATTGTCGCAGACCAATACCTCGGAAAGTTCAAAGCCATTCTTGTAGCCGGTGCTATCTACGTTGTCGGTCTCGTCATTCTAGTAACAACTGCGACACCATCAGCAATTCAGAATGGAGCAGGATTCGGAGGACTTATTGCCGCTATGGTCACGATTGGTCTTGGCACTGGAGGTATCAAGGCTAACGTGACTCCCATGTGTGCTGAGCAGTACCAAAACTCTAGGCCAGTCCTCAAGACACTCAAGTCTGGAGAACAGGTTGTGGTCGACCCGGAGCTCACAGTGCAAAAACTTTTCATGTGGTTCTACTGGGTCGTGAATGTGGGAGCACTCTCTCCACTCATCACTGTCAATGTCGAAGCCAAGCACTCCTTTTGGCTTGCGTACTTGATCCCTTTGATGTAAGTATACATAATCCATTACACAAGTGTGACCTGAGTTGCTAATTATCCATCAGTGCCATCGTCATCTCTCTCGTCATCTTCCTCAGTAACCAGAAGCGATACGTCAAAGTTGGCCCCCACAGCTCTGCTATCGTCGACGCTATCAAGGCCAACACCATTGCATGCCGCGAGAAGGGCTTCCATAATGCCAAACCATCTGCCCTTGCTGAAGCTGGGAAGGATGAAAAGTACAAATTCTCTCGAGAAGCGAGGTATACCGATGCATACGTGGAGGATGTCCGACGAGGTGTCAAAAGCTGCAAGGTAAGATTTCCTTCATCCGTATGAAGCAGAATACATGCGCTAATACAAACCATCCAGATGTTCCTTTTCTTTCCCTTTTACTTCGTGTGCTGGACTCAAATCTGGAACAACCTCATTTCCCAAGCTGGCACGATGGCGCTACACGGAACACCCAATGACCTCCTTCAAAATTTGGATCCTATCGCACTCATTATATTTATCCCGTTCCTTGATCGTAAGCTCAAAGTCCCCTATCAAAGCCCCAAAGAAGTTGCGCACTAACGAGGAACATCAGTCGTTGTCTACCCTGGCCTCCGTAAGATGAAGATCGACTTCGACCCCATTTCGCGCATCTTTGCTGGCTTCCTGCTCGCCTCCATCTCCATGGTTTACGCTAGTGTCCTTCAATTCTACATCTACAAGTCTGCTCCGAAGAGCATCCACGTGTGGATACAAGCTCCGGCATACATCTTTGTTGCCTTTTCCGAGGCCTTCATCATCATCACTGGACTTGAGCTGGCCTTTACGCAAGCTCCTAAGAAGTGAGTCAATTTTCCAAGTCAAAAGGAATTTAGCTAACAGTTGCTCTTTACAGCCTTCGATCCTTCATTTCCGCCCTCTTCTGGGTCACCATCGGAATAGCAGCCGCCATATGCATTGCACTCAGTCCAGTCTCGCAGGATCCGCATCTAGTGTGGATGTACGGGTCTCTGGCCATTGTCGGCTTCGTGGCCGGGTGTCTCTTCTTTCTCTGCTTTCGCAAGGACCGGAAGTGGGCGTCCAATGCCATCATTCTAGAGGCTGTCCACGTTGACACCAATACCAATGCTGCTGTTGGTCAGGTAGATAAATATGGTTCCGGCAAGAGTAGTTAGCTGGTGTATATCTCTATTCACTGATTCTTATTAATAATCAATGCCGCTACACTCCTTTCGTTCAAGTGTACTTTGAGGTCTGTTCGATACTACTCAATCAGTGGCAAGCCTTGCGTGCTAAATACTTGTAGTGATATTCTCTGTTTACCTAATACGTATAACACAGTGTTCCACCCTGTGTATCCAGTAAACTCTTGAGCGTCGCATTACCCGCTAAGTTCCCTATATTTACTTCAAAGTCCAGCGTGACGTTCTTACCACCATAGTCAAAGGGTGCGATAGGGCCGCCGACTTGATTGAGGCGGGTCTTGAGATCCTTTTGTTGCCAGGCCCAGAGGATGCGGTCAAGATTCCCGTGATGAAGGAAGAAGAGCGGATCTGTTCTCGCGTCAGGGGTAAATCGAGCAATGTGGCAATCTCACGTACCACCAGGACTATTCGCTGCATTTCCAATCGTTCCTAGCACGCCTCCGACACCGAAATGGCCACTGCCATGGATGTTCGGTTCGTCGAAACTTGGGATGTTTTCAATGGCTCGCGCGAAGCTCGTGTAGTCTTTTTGCGCAAGGACTTTCTGCACAAGTTTCGGATCTGCGAACGAATTCATGATTCGGGGTATGAAGTCGCGTCTCAAGCAGTCATGATTTGGGAAGTTGAGCATGAAGCGAGGCGGAGCGAAGGGTCCATTCGTGACACAGCCACCGCCTGTACCGCCGGTGATGTTCAGTGGATTTTTTTCAGGAGTAGGTGCTACGAAGTTGCCGTTACCACCGAAGCCATCATGTGGATTGAAGATTGCGGAATGAAAGGCTTTGGTGGAAGTGAGGTTTTGGGGTTCAGCGTCCAATGACCAGTCCCAATATCTGCACATACATTTTGTAAGTACATATATTGACGAGGCACCAACTAATGAGATAGAGGAGTTCAATATGAGGTTTAACGTACGGCTGGCCACTCGTATATCCGCATTCCTCTCTCAATGCCTTTTCGTAGGTGGCTACAAAGTAGCGGTGCCATAGGATAAAATGGCCCTAGAAATATCAGCGTGTTGCGAGAGGATACCACATTAGGATGAAATCGCTAACTTACAACCCAGTGTATGTTCGGTGTCTGGCTATTGTGGACGGCCTGGTGATCATCAAATCGATTGAGTGCGCCCGTAATGCCCGACTTGGCCTTCTTTCTCGTCAGACACAGAACAGCGTCTATGTATGACCTCTTTTGCAGTTTCGATAGCTGCCTCCTAGTGTAATATGCGATGAGCAGTGCCTTACAACTATAATGACTATGAAAGTGAGCTGTCTCACCATTCAAGCCTTCTTGGCGGGTTCGTGCATGTACCCGAGGAGGCGATTGTCGGGAAAGCTGCAGCTGCTGACAACAGCGCCAAACAGAGTCCAACAAAAAGGTGCGATGAGTATATGTTGATAGACCTGTGACAGTTGCCCACCCCCGCCTTTATGTGCGCGCCCCTCCGACCCCAGTAGCCGCATGCAGGACTTTGCAGGAAGCTTGCAAAAACAAAAACAGGCTTGGGAATGGGTTGAGATATATATTAACATCTTAAGCGAGCCACACGGGCGGCAGGACCAAGAGGCTATTTATATTCGCATCGATTAAGCATTAAGAGATGTTCTTAGATTTGTTTCGTTAAAAGTTACTGGGGTATACAACACCTAGTTGTCGCAAGTGATTTTTTACCTAGCCCTATTACTGATGAGACCTACTAACCAGCTGATAAAAGCAAAGACAGCTAATGAAAGCGAAGATAGCTTTGCCATGCACTTCTAAATATAGAAATCCTTCCGCGGGCTGTTAGTTTTTACCCTTGCCATTCTTATCAACATGCACGAGTGAATCGTCTACATAGGCGGTCGAGGGCATATTGTCTCAATCCTAGGCGTGCGCTAAGCAGGTGGTCAGCATTTCTTAGTGGGGCCTGGGGCCCAGCTGCTGTACACCGTCTAGCCCCACCATCAGACTTAACTCGGATAACTGAACGTTCTTCTCTCCACAAATGTCAGATTATCCCGTTAGGAGTTCCTAAGAGTCTACGCCACTAACTGGCAACCGCATCACGATACTGGATTGCATCTCATCGGCCAGATTGGCGTCTGCCACTATGGGAGTTCAGATACAATCATGTTTTCCTGGCGTTCTGTAAACTGGACTGGACTAGCTTAGATGTGAGAGAAATGCCACGGGACGAAGTCAAGGTGCTACTACTCGTTAGCTTTTGGAGCAGGAGATACTGATGAGTTCGCTATTGGCGAGAATGGATCTGTAGAACCAGGGAATGAGAATACTCTCAACGAAGGTAGTGACGATGTATCCGCCTTATTTGATGAGCCTCATAGCCCTTCATAGACAGCGGAAGACCAGGCGCATTACTAGACTAACAGGAACACATGGGGCATATTGAAAAACCCAACGGGGGAAGACGGAAAGTACGTTCGAGTCGGGCGTTTTACTTGTCAGATCGCGTACAAAGGTAGTGATGCATTTCGAAACTGTGAACTTCAGGCCGTCGATTTCGTCTATAAGATTTCTTTTGACCTCCATCAAACTCTGGTATTCCGTAGCAACGAACAAATTCACCTACAAATTCCGCTTAGTATCACTGTCGAAGCATCCTGCGAGCAAAGACATGTTCTGATTGACATGGTTCGTCGATGGAAACGTCCCATGTTCTTTTACTAGTGTACAAAGCCCTGACTCAATATACGCCTTTATGACACAGAGCCAAAGCGTGAAGGTCACTGTTCTTTTGCGCCTGTATGCAATACAATCAAACATGTGTGTACAAGTATAATCAACTCCAGGCGCACCAGCAACAGACAGGGCTCTCAGCTGAGCACCTCCTACATCCCCTTTTCTTCAGCGGATAACGTCTTCTTCTTTGGAGTGAGGAATTTGTCATTATACGTCTCCCGAGGCGCAAGACCCTTCTCCTGCAACTCGGTGAGCAGCGCCTCATCCACCTTTCCGATTTGGTGAGCCCTCCAAGGAGCAGGTTCGGAAATTTTGAGCCAGGTTCTTCGGCCCTCAATCTCAGTATCATGGAGTTCCGCTACAGCTTGGTCGGCGCCCTCCTTCGTCTTGAAGTCCAGGAAGCAAAGCAGACGAGGGTTTTCTTTCTTGTCGCCGTAGAAGTTGTGAAGGGCTCCGAGCGTCTCAATGCCATACTTTCCAAAGTACTGATCGATAATGCTCATGGCATTCTTGTTGCGAGTGCTAACAACCATATCCTTTGCGCCCCAACCGGGAGTTTGAACGCATAGCATCATGCGGCGGCCTTCAATGAGGGGCCGCCCAGCTTCGTAAGCACTAGTTCCCTCCTGGTAGAAGTAGCGGGACCCGCCAACCATATTTGTCAGATTGCGTTGGTGGCCAAAAGTAAAGTCTTCCTTAGCCGGCCGGACAACAACTTTCTTATTCAAGAACACTGAACCATTCAGAGTTTGGACGGCTTCTGAAACTTGATTTTCGCTTCCCAACTCCACAAAGCACATGGTGTCGTTTTGGAAGGTGAAGCGATCGAGTCGTAGCTGGATTCTCTTGCTGAGATATCATTAGCTTGCGGGCACGTGATGACTTTCGGGGACCGCCGAGACGCGCTCAAGGTACGAAGACATACATATCGCATCCTTTGCTGCGTAATAAAGCCTCAATATCCGACCTGACTGCCCGTTTCGGCAACGTGAGAAAAACGATCGATCGTTTAGAATACTCTGTTGGCACGATAGGTGATTCTGTGCGAGGGGGCTCTGGTCCTGTTGCAGGGGTATGGACGATGTCTTGCCACGATCTTGCGCTCGATGTAAGACTCCGTTGCGTGAAAGTTGTCGAGATTGATGGAAGTACTGAACGAGATAGGCGCGATGTCGTGATGCCCCGGGACAAAGGACAACGACTCCGTAGAAGTATCCTCGGCGCTGCCATTGCGTATGACGAATGACACAACTATTTTCTAACGGAAAGAAGATGATGGAGAAGCGCAGAGAGTTTGTTAATGAGGCGAGATACCGCTATGATATGTCGATGTGATGGAGCTGGGCGTCAACAGAAAAAGTTCCACGAGACACGCTAAACGCCAAGATACCTTATCGATAACGACGCGTCAAACTCGCCTTCCCGCCGCCCACTGCTTTACATCTCCCTCGTCGTGATATAGCGGTTAAGACGACACTAGTTATTCATGTGCATCCGATCTTTCCTTCGTATGCCCGCCATGCCCGCCATGCCCGCCCATATGCCTCTATTGCTTGCTGCGCACGCTTGTTTCAAGAAATCGCGCCCTGAACGCGTGCCCTGGACTATGCTACTAGGAGGCTTCAGTCAATCACTACACCGTCTTTAGGACGACATGCGTCAATGCGATAAGATTCATAGCGGAATGCGCTGTCGCAAGTACCTCATATCCTTGAGCACTCGACTAGTAAACAATGTGACATTTCTTGCATTCATTCTTCGATTACATCTACGCTCTAGCCCGGAATTGCAAGATCGGGCCATCCTTTTTACTCGCAAACACGTCTTTGATCTGGTATTCTGTCTCTCTCGTCCTGCCGGCCTCCAAGTCCTTGCCCCCTGCCCCTAGGGTTGTACCCGGTGCCAGCCTCAGGTCATACAGGAACAGCACTCGTGCAATCGTCATCGTCAACTCTACGTAGGCAAGACCCTTTCCGATACAGCCTCGAGGTCCAATGCTAAATGGGTTGAATGCCGATTGTGCGTCAGCAAGTCTGTCGCGGAGCGGATTGGCAGTCGCGTCGGATAACCAGCGCTCCGGGAGATAGTCGAAGGGGCGAGGGAAATAGTCTGGATTGTGGTGGATAGCGTAGATGGGGACGCCAACGTCGACGCCTGCTGGGATGTGACGTCCATCGATGTCCATGCCACCCGGGAGCACTTGACGAGGAAGTGCACCGGCAACAGGTGGCGTCATGCGCATCGTCTCGTCGATACAGGCACGCAGGAACGAGCATCCGCTCAGCCTTGGTCCAGTCACGATCTCCTCGACATCAGTGAACGCCTCGCGAATCTCCTTGCAGACCTTGTGCAATGCCGTAGCGTTGTGCGCGAGGTAGAAAAAGGTACCTGACATCGCCGTAGATGTGGTGTCAGAGCCAGCGATAATTAGCAAATTTGACTCTCCCCATAGCTCGTCCATGCTGAAGCCTTTGCCTGTTTCCGGGTCTTTCGCGTTCAAAAGGTAGTAGAAGAAGTCCTTCCGATCGACATCGACCCCGAGTTTGGTCCGCTCCATGGCTTGCCCTTTACTATACTGCATGTACTGCGCTCGCTGGCCTGCGATCTTGCGAAAAAAGAGCTTGTCTAGATGCCAGTTATGGATCGTGAGATGGGTGCCGCACTGATCTCGTCAGCTACAATTTCCAACGAACTCAAGCAGCAGTTCACTTACGATTAAATGGCGATGGGCAGCATTCCCGACCAACTGTGTCGCAAATCTGTTCGCCGGACTCTCCAACATGCCAAACGCTTTGCCAAACACCAAATCCCCCATGATATCGAAGACCAGCCACTCACACCAATGCGCTGCATTCCACTGATTATTCCAGTCGTCATCGGCAGCTTGTTTCTCTGGGACATCGCTACCTGTTTTCTTACCCAGCATCTCACACCCAACACGTACATTCGCTAGGATATACTTCTCCAAAGCCTTAATTGCCGCATCACTAAAAGCATGACTTATGACCCTCCTTTTACGCGCATGCTGCATCTTGTCGATTGCGCTATGCACGCTGACGGCCTTCGGCGTGCTGGGAAACGCCTCGTAGAAACTCGCTTTCCGCACATTCGACTTGAAGCCATAAATTGTTTTCAAACCCGTGGCAGTGTTGACGGAGAGAAGATTCGGCCCGAGACGTACGTATGGCCCGTATTGGACATGTCCGCGGTGGAAGGCGAGATGTCGAGAGCCTTTGTAGGCATAGTAGGCGAGGTATATGTCGGTAATTTTGGCGAGGAAGGGCCCAGGGTACTTTGCGAGAGGGTGGAAGGTTAGGCGGTAGATGATGACAAGAGAAATCTAGGATACCGTTAGTTTGGATATGGGCTATTTTTGAGAGGGCAACGAACGTAGAGGAACAAGGAGCCGAATACAGAAGCTAGGAGAAGCAACGGTGAGGTCAGGAGCGACTTTGCTAGGGCTAAGAGGAACTCCATCTTGAACGGACGCCAACGGCCAGATGAATGCTGTAAGTAAGTGTTATTGAGGGATGTACATTGACACACAGGACAAATCTATGGTGACGGTATAGACACACAAGGTTTGCAGCAATAAGCACACCCAAAAGGTTGCACAAAGCGACTGCTTAAGTACCAAAAGGGCGTTCCTCTACCATCCGCAGCTCCCGCAATACCCAGTGTCCCATCTAACATTCATCATGACAAAGAGGACTAAAACTACTGGCTACCTGATGCAGGTCTCGTGCCCCGGATTCCAAACATTTTCGCATGCGGGCGCGCTGGGTATATGTTGCGGCGCACGGCGGCTATCGTCGGATATTGGGGCATCAGAGCGATTTGGGATCACGTGCGACGGCTACTCCAGCGCGCACTAGCTGTCGTGACGGATACTCAGGTCCTATGATGTAATTCCACTTTTCTGCGGATAGGAAGGGCACGGATATTGTGCGCGTAGACCGGCTGTCAACAACCATGCTGTCTCTCCATCCATCTCACCGTCTTGTCTACCCCGTTTTTGTGCCACCCGAAATTGCGCACGGCTCGGAAGACGGTGCGACGCCTGAATCGCTATATTCGTGCAGTTTATTTGTCGTCGCCGCCGCGCCGCCTTCACAATCATAGCTAAATCATCATCTGAGCCCGAGTTCTCGACACGAGCCTAAAGCTAGCCGTGAACCAGATTCTCGTCAATTACGATCTCGAGCTCCCTCTCGCCCTGAAAGGAACGTGTCTAATATAGTTCCCGCGCCGCGCGACCCAAATGTCCCGCCCTCTCCCAACGCCAAAACGATTAATCAGCAGAATGAGAGAAACGACATCGAACGAATTGACCTATACATGCTGTTGTAGATGATGATGAAGATCGGACGATACAGGCGACGAAGAAGGCGCCGACAAGAAAGCGCGATCACTGTGCTGGCTATGACCGCAAGAGCAAACGGCCTTCGCTTATCAACTTGCCATACTCTCCTCTCACCTTTACTCTCTATAACCAATTGATCGCCATCTCGACCTTGCATTCTGACCTAGATTCCTTTGAATGTAGTATACATAAACGTCTCGCTGCGTCTTGTTGCTTTTGGACTCTGCTAGCCGTCAATCTAGACCTTGACACCCCCATTGAACGTCTCCCCTCTACTGGTAGTGCCCATATACGCGACTGATACCTGTCCGACGATGTGAGCTCATTATATTCATTGATAACCCACGTCTCTTTGCGTTTCGAAAAGCTTCAGCAGTGTCTGGTTTGTCGCCTCTTGAACAGTTGTACATAGTCGTAAATAGAAGCCAGACCTCAAGTGGAAAAAAGAGAGCACGTTCAGCCAATCACGGTGAGATGGTCACCTGATCCTCGTACAGGAACGAAGCCGCTTAAATGCGGCGGGGAAACGTCCATTCGAGACATCAATTCCATTCGCCGATAAGACTGTTGCACATACTTCAATGCCGCGGTTTTTCAATATCGATCAGGTTCTGAGAGGACTTAAATCAACGTACACTATTGTCAAGGAGCTTCACAGGGCTGTGGACGAAGCTGCCATATATCTAGCCAGGTATGAACTCAATGCAATCCCCGCGCTTTCTCACCATGTCCACGAACCCTTTTTAATCTCACGATGTGCGGACTCTAGGGATCAAAACAGAAAGAATTGGATTGTCAAGAGCGTTCGCGGCCATTGGCACCTACAGAACGAAGCCAATATTCTAAGGCGTTACCAGTCTAAGACTCCGTTCCTCCGCCCGATAGTCGATGAGGTCCTGGGCCCAGCCGATCCACCCTCCATCATTTTGAGGCATCTGGACAGTGAACTTCTTACGGAATCGAAGAAGAAACGGCTAACGCGCCCCGAGATTAAGCAAGTAGCCAGGTGCATTCTCGGGGCCCTTCTTATTCTCCATAAGGATGGCATGGTCCACACAGGTATGACACGGCACTCTTATCTTGTCTAGAATCTCTGCATTCTCATATATTTTTGTAGATGTGAAATTGGATAATGCTTTTGTCAACTATGGTCAAAGCGAGCAGCGCTTCTCAGAAATTCAACTTGGGGACTGTGGAGGTGTTGTCTCCAGAGATTCGGAGTTCGCCAGGGAGGGCCATCTGATCGGAGCTGCCTTCTCGAGGATGAATGGTTTATAGAGGAATCAGACGATACTCGGGAACCCACACCCACGGGGACAAACAGGTCCGAGGATGAGGCTGACAGCTAGTGCTATGGCTTTTGGCACACAATCGCCTGCTAAGAATAGAATAGGATGTTACGCAGTGCATGCTATCCGCAGGTCTGGAGCTAGAAGAAGGATGGCATGACCATGTATGCTAACATGGCTATGCGCCAGGTAGCAGACCTGGCCCTTCAACTGCCGCTATCGCTGATCCGAAGCAAGTGAGTAGCTTTCAAGAGACGAGGGAGAGTTTGCAATGGAGACAAGAATGTGCAAAAGTATGGGAATGGGGAGTGGGAGGGCCACTAAAAGCATGCGAATGACAACTTAGAGTTGAATTCATCAGTCGCAGTCGTGGAAGCACGAGATGTTGGACAATGCTGTCCGGAATGGTGAAATAGACAAGGACGAGAGAAGTACAGTCACGCGGCGGCGGATTCGAAGAATGTCTCATATAAGAGATCTGTCAAGGCGCAATAAGAGAAGTCGGCGTAGGCGAAGGGGGCGCAAATAGAGAGTTAAGAGTAGAGAGTAGGAAATGATAGCAAAGGCAGATTCCCTATTCTAGTGTAGCGCAAAACAGTACCGTCTGTCCAATGAGAGCCTTCAGCTTACTCATGCTCTTGCGGCTTTTGCCGGCTTGGCACTTTTTGAGCTTGGTGAACGAACCTCAGCAAGCGTCGCGACGACATTGACGATTGTGCAGCAGCACTAACAACGCCCATTGGCCCATCTCCACTCTCCAGTTGCGCAGGCAGTGATTGACTGCTCAAGATGGCGTCCAAGAAGGTTACGACGGCCTTTTCGGTACGCTCCTACCTCCTCTACAGCTTCCCATGCGCCCGACCCCCTCCTCCGAGCCCTCCACGGCTGCTTCGGCACTCAGCTAATTGAACCTCTGTAGAAATACACAGTCCAGCCCACGGGAATCTATGGCCTCATCAACCGGATCTTCGCGCTCGACCCCAAGCGCTCGACTGGTATCCCCATGAACCCGCAATTCCGCAACCCACCACCAGGCGCCCTCGACCCCAACACATACGATGACCCCGTCACCGTCCCGGCTGCTGACATTGCTGAAAACCCATACTGGAAGCGCGATGCGCGACGACGATACCCCAGGCTCTCGACCGTCACACAGGCCGACTCAGTCGCGCTGTTGGAAGTTGGAAGCGCGGCGGCGCCGAAGCAGGAGTTGATTGGCGAGGCAGGCTCACAGCAGCTGGTTGCCGCACAAGAGCAGGGTGCGAAGGGACTGGCGGTCGCATTTGAGAGGAACATTGGCCTGGCAAAGGATGTGCTGGGCCCTGGTGGCATGCCCCCGCTGCCCAGCGGTATGCATGTTAGTAATACTGCGGGGAAAAAGAGGTATGAGTTGGAGGAGGTGCAATCATATGGCGATGCGTAAGTTTTCTGATCCCTGTTATATGAGCCGTAATGCTAACGTGATACAGCTATCCATGCCGAACGTTCACTTGAGCTCATTCTTAGCGTCGAGTGGGGGAAGTAGAGAATGATAGATTATCTGTAAATACGACAACTTTCCTTGTGTGATCAATTTTCGGCTCAATCTGTGTCTGATCAATGTCTTCCTCTCTTTTCCTAACCCGAATCAATTGTGTATTGTGCGCATGTCGCTGATCTAGATCTGAATCTCGTCTCTGTTGCCGTTCGCATCATCACTCTATAGCATGGGCGATCACTGCATGTGCAATCACAGTTTTGTTTCACTTCACCAGAAGACAGGCACGCCTCACGAAACCCCACTAAGGTGCTCCCGGCGCCTTCATGACGTTGCGAAGGAGCGTGTCTTGCTAGGTCTTGGCAGTATTGTCACGACTGCCAATCTCGCTGCATTGCCCACGCCTTCACTACACCTCACTTCTTTGCCTTTGAACAGCTCGGCTAATTCACCGTCATGAACCCTGGATCAGCAAAAACACCGCCTGAACAGGGTGTGGCGCCCCTAAACTTCATCTACGCCTGCTCGATATGCTGTGCCTCGTTCGCCGATGCCTACGAGGGCCACCACGAGACCGTCCAGGGCCTTTCGGATGGCGTGAATCCTACCGAGCGCCTTGTTACCAGGCTCTTCCTCAGCGATTGCTGCCATGTATTCTGCAGCAAGCATCTAGAGGGTGGCGGTCCGCCTTTCCACCCTGCCGGACAACGACCGAGGGCGCCCTGTCCAGTGTGCATCAAAGAGAAGGGAGAGAGCGAGTTGCGGGATCTCTATTCAGTTCGCGGTTTCAAGAAGAATGAGTACGACCCTCAAATTCCGCCATCTTGGTTCACCGCGCCGCCCATCAGGCTAGATGGCAATGGAAAGGAGATGGAGGCTCTGCGAGTACGTCATCGATTGGTGCTTCTATCGACCTTGGTGCTGATACATCTTAGTTCCAGTATATCGCGCTCATCCGATACTGCCAAAACACATACGCGACCCGCAAAACAACCCAGAATGCCCTGGCAGAGGCCGAGAAGAAGTTAGTCAGCATACAAGAGCTCGCCTCGGAGGAACGTACCAAAGCCATCACCCTGCAACAAGACAATGAGCAGCTGCGTGCCAGCCAGGATCAGTTCGATGCCTTGAAAGCAGAGCTACAGCGACTACAGGGCCTCGAGCAGGAGGTTGAACAGTATCGTCAGATGCAAGTCAATCCACGCGACCTAGAAACTTTCACGACTCACAAAACCGCCATTCGGCACTATTTGAAGCTGGTACCGATGCTGTTAGAACAGAACAACAAGATGAAGAAGCGACTCGCATCGCTGGGTTTCGCGATGGCGCTGGAGCCAGTGCCTAACTTCAAGGGTCTAGACCCAAATACCTTTGACAGCGATGAAGCATTCCCTGGCGACTATTCAGGCAAGTCCGACGCATTCCCGCGAAAGACCGCGTCGAGCCATACTGCTGGCAGGTCCGCACACACCCCAGGCCATGCAACGACATCACCTTCTAGCCCCTTCACACGGCGACCCATCAAGCGACAGCGGCTTGATTCTCCTCTGCCGGGCAATATACAACTGGGCATATCTACCAACCAAGATGCCATGTCCCCACCACCTAAACCAATGTCAAGGTTGCATTCTGTGCGGAAGATGTTTCCAGCTCTACGGAACAAGTTTTCCCATGGTCGCTCCACGCCCGATTATGGATTGGAAAGAAAGAGTGATGTCTCGATGTATGACGACGGGCCTTGGCAGGATGCTTCCGACGATCAGCGATCGACACAACATGGCTTCCGAGGCGAGACACCGTATATGTCGGGTGCACTCCCTGTTGAGCGACCTACGGAAGCCATAAATCCACAAGAGTCCCAGTTGCTTTCGAGTATGGGTATCAATGACAACAAGCCTGACTTTACGTTTCGAGCTTCGTCGCCAATCAAGATGAGCAAATCGTCCGAAGGGCATCAGTCTGTACAGCTACCCACGGAACCGTCCTACATTCGACTTATGGATGGTCTGTCCCGCGACACGGGAATCGAACTAGGGCTGAAAGATCCTCGCGAGAGCCCAAGAAGGAGCTACCATGACGATGGTAGAGACAGGCAAGTTATACATAATCATCGCGTTCGGCAGCTACCACAAGAAGAGCCGCAGAAGCGTTGGAGTTTTGGACATCCATTCCTCCATCAATCGCCTCACGGGTCTTCTCCCGCATCCAATGGTCATCTGGATACTTCTTGCTCTACCCAAATCAACGGGTTTGCCGACAGAGCGTACAACGAGCCATCACTTGGGCCAGTCACGCCTGCGCCCAGACGATATCAACAATCAGGTCCCCAGATCGAGAGTGTAGTAAGTCCCTTCTTCAAGAGCAGTCACCGCCAGGCCCCAGTTTATTCCAGAGCCAGATTCGCTGAACGCCAGGACAGTTCAAATCATTTCGGCGCCTCTCAGTCACGCAGATCCAGGATGAACGAGCCTAAAGCAGGCTGGCATGAGCCGCGCAGCTTGAATGGACTCTCATTCTTCGACTCGCCTCTGAATTCGAGAAACGAACCTATACAACACAGTTATAGGCAGAAGGATATAGAGCCAATAACTTCACCGCGACGACCTCAAGGCCGAAATTTGAACTCCAGGGGCTTTGTCACGAGGTCAGAGATGGAGCGGTCGTCATTCGTTAGCGACGGCGCCTATGGGTCCTCGCACGATAGGCCATCTCCCATGCACTCTCAATCAACAATTTCGTTTCCAGCTTTCAAGCGTTCTACTTATTCTCGCGCTGGGCATCTTCCATCGGATACGCCATCTACGTTCTCAAATCGCTCACCAGCTCGTACACAGCCTCAGTGGGAAAATTTACAGCGGATAGGTGTGCGCAGCAGTCGTCATACATTTGGCAATATTGCGGGAAATACTTCGGCTAGGCCAGCCAGAATCATCTTCTCCAGCGCTGGTCGGCGCAATGTCAAGCGATGAGGCTGGTTGGTCTATGACACCCGTCGCGACGGCTGCGAGTTTTTCTCGTTCGAGAAGGGGGACATGCTTACCTTTTGATGGCGGTATATTAACGATGCAAATGATATACATTGCTCGCAGCATTGAATTCCGCATGCGTGACGGCCTGTCACGAGATGTGCCCAGTACTAGTTTAGTAAGCTTCTCAGTTTCATATCACTTCGGTCCTAATATCATGACAACCCGCACGACACCAAACGAAACGCACCCTTCACGTAGTGCAATAAGGAGACTCACACCGTGGCATGAGATGATGTGATCCTCGTCACAGCGGTCACCAGTCGGCGTGCGCTATGTTTAATCAAGCGTCAACCCTGCAAAGCTTAGCACCTTCACGCCATGCTTCATTTGGCACGGAGGCCGATTTGTCTCCAGATGACCGTTGTCATCGGACCCAGGCCTAGGTGAAGCGATGCATATATGAGAGCTAATACCGAATGAGCCTATCACTAGGAGAATTTATTACATGTAATATGCGGTAAATATGCAGCGAAAGTTCGACGGAAATTCCCCGCACACTCTAATTCCCCGATCGCAACAAGTAGCCTAGCGTTTCACGACGACACCTTAAATTTCAACGCATCATTAGCCAGTTAGGACAACTAGTGTGATGTTTCAAAGGACCGTTTTGCGCTTTAATGTTTTGTTCCCACGAATAACGATCCCCTATACCTCACAGTTTTTATAGCTTGGCCCACCTTCCTAGTCGCTCAAACTTCCCTTAATCTGTTTAAGTGATTTATCCCGCGCCGCGGCTGTACAGAGGCATTCCGCGAAACCCTATCCGGCACTTTCAGATTGCTGCAGGATGAACATGCTCAAGTGGAAACGGAGGCGCTGTTCCGTAGAGCCAAGTGGCGGACCAGGGGTGTGGAGACAGAATGCTTTGGTATAAAGATGAATAAAGCCCAAGTTTTGACGACCAAGGTAACTTTGGCTGACAAGCTTACAATCAAAGCAGGACAGGCACATCTACAATGCTTTTCAAGAGCCTCGTCGCGGCGGCCGCGCTGGTCAGCACCGCATTCGCTGCTCCATCGGAGAAGCGCCAGAATGCCAAGCTGAAATGGTTCGGTATCAACGAGTCTGGCGCTGAGTTCGGCGAGAAGAACTTTACTGGTGTATATGGAAAGGAGTACATTTGGTACGATTTCAAGACCATCGACCAGTTCATCGGCCAGGGCATGAACATGTTCCGTCTCAACTTCTGTAAGTTTGGCTCTGTAGTCCTTCAATACGAATCGAAATATATTACGCGTTAGAAAGCTAATACTTCTCTTCAGTAATGGAGCGTCTAACCCCCAACAACCTAACCGACGCATTCGACCCTCTCTACCTAGGGAACCTGACCCAGCAAGTCAACTACATCACATCCAAGGGCGCATACGCAATGGTACAACCGCACAACTACGGCCGCTTCTACGGCAACATCATCACCGACACAGCCGGCTTCAAAACATGGTGGAAGAACGTAGCCGCGCAGTACAAAGACAACGAACTCGTCGTATTCGACACGAACAACGAGTATCATGACATGGACCAAAAACTCGTCTTCGACCTCAACCAAGCAGCCATCGACGGCGTGCGTGCCGCAGGCGCAACAAAACAGTACATCACGCCCGAGGGAAACAGCTGGACCGGCGCGTGGACCTGGATTTCCTCGGGCAACGGCGCCTCGCTCGTCAACCTCAAGGATCCGCAGAACAAGCTCGTCTACCAGATGCACCAGTACCTCGACACGGACGGCAGCGGCACGTCTGTGAACTGCGTCAGCGCGACGATATTCAAAGAGCGTCTGCAGGCTGCGACCAAGTGGCTCAAGGACAACAAGAAACAGGGTGTGATTGGCGAGTTCGCGGCGGGAAATAATGCCCAGTGTATTAGTGCGCTCAAGGACGGTCTTAGCTATTTGCAGCAGAATGGCGATGTGTGGCTGGGCGCTATCTGGTGGGCTGCCGGCCCGTGGTGGGCGGATTATATTTATAATATGGAGCCTGAGAAGGGCGTGGCGTGGACGGGTATCTTGCCGCAGATTAAGAGTTACTTTGTCTAGTCTAGGTAGATGGCTAGAATGTAAATGGGTGGATGAGGGGGTGCGGATAAGCCTAAAGGCTGGATTGGAAGGGGAAGAACTTTCTTGTAAATACCCTTTGTCTTGTATATACTCTATCTTCAAAAGAGCGTACTTGGGTGGAAAACTAATTTTCTCCTGCTATCGATCTCAGGGTTTTCCCTCCCAGGCCTTGGTCAAATACTCTTCCCCACTGATGAATTTGTAGTCTGGATATCGCTTGTTGAACTCATCAGAGACATCCCAAGACCCGTTCAGTATACCCTGGAGGAACATGATAACGAACTGCTCACTAAACACCGGCCTGTCCTCTACTGGAATGACAGGGTGAGAAAGTTGCGGCACCCAGTTCGTCTTCAGCACCCCCTTCTCGATATCCTCAACGCGGACGTTCTCGATGGTCCAATCCCCGCCCCTGATCTTCTGGCCTAGCGCAAGCAACTCGTTGATAGTCGTCCTGTGTCCGCGGAAACCTCCGACATTCGGCCAAGGGCGTTCATCTTCCAGAGCGCGTAAGAGAATCTCAGAGTCATCTGCGATTGCAGTGATAACGAGGGGGTAGCTTCCATCCCCCAGCACGATAGCCCGGCGGTTCTCAAAGTCAAGGAAGAAAGGCCACGTGATGAGCTCGGGGCTCAACGGATATGGATGCGCAAAGTAGTCCATAAAGATACTCGGCTGAAATAAACAGTACTCGAGTTGTGCCAGCTTGCCCTCTTCTTTCAGCTGCGCCAGGTAACGTGCAATCTCATCCTTGTTCGCGTACGGTGCACATCCCGAGTTGTTCTTGATGCCCCACTCGCTCGGTGCGAACCGGCGGACGCCGGCATCGATAGAGGCGTGGATTAGGTTCTTTTGGGCCTCGCAGTTAACGTCCAGGTGCACGACGAAGAAGGAGAGGCAGACGTCGAAGCCTTTGAGCGCCGCTGTCAGGCTATCGCGATTGTGGTAGTCGACCTTTTTGTACGAGACTAAGGGAGAAGGAGAGGAGAGTTTAGCGGGATCGGAGCGAGTAAAGATGGTGATTTCATGTCTTCCTGAAGCAATTGTGGCCTTGAGAAGGTTGGTTGCGACATCTATTGTAGTAGTGAGCAACTTGAAGGTCCTTATCCGTGTGGTGGGGGTAGTGGGTCGAAGTTATGGATGTGGGGTGGAAAACATACTTCCAGTGCCGCCTGCTACTGCGACTTTGACCATCTTTGCGTTCAAACCTAATCGAACCGATCTGATCACAGGCGTTCAGAGTGTGATACGGGCCGTAGGAGATAATGGTGATGAGTAGTGGGGGACTCGTACTGCGCCGCTTTTGCCAAACTCCGCCACGAGTCAGTAGTGCGAATAATCGTGCTTGCAAATCGGTCCGTCGTAATGCACTCGCTCCGGTCAGGAGACCGTTTTGACACTTGCCAGCATACAACACGATGTGAGCCTACTGATCTTCATAATTGGTAATAGAGTGACTGGAAGTCAGTCACTATCTTTGGACAAGGTCGGCGGAGATAGCGGTGTTTTCAAAAGGCTTTCGAGTTCAGGAGTCCTCGTCGATCTGTGCGTTTTGGGAACCGATTTTCGACTAGTTGTATGTAACTGTACACATATACACTAGCATTGTAAAGATAAATTTCGAATATACGTCATGCATCGATAAGCGGAACATCAGGTAATGGCTTCTCTGGTAACGGTTTGGTCGGTAGTGGCTTCATTGTCCTCGGCTCATCCGTAAATGTTGGCGTTCTTGAGCTTTCTCCCTCGTCAGGGTCGTCGCGATATCCGCCCTGTAGGAGCGCATCATCTTCCTCGGCAGTCCTCTCCCGTCTCAAATTATCCCAAACATCGTCCATACCATCCCACTTGGCCAGCTCATTTTGTTCCTGCAACCAAAGCCAGAGCTTGTAAATGCCGAAGAGCACGATAAGCCCAGCGATGGTACTACCGGCTATGACGAAAACAGAGTTCCACTCATCCCAATGGACGATGTCACCGAGCATTTTGCGCAGTGAGCCTTGCTTTCCGTAGTCACCCCATTCTTTGCCGCGATAGATGAAGCGGCGCCCATCCTCTTCCCATACATCATTGCCGAAGAAGCGCCCAACCTTGTCCCAAAGTGTCGGCGTCTTTTCTGCTGGAAAAGTGTATGCTCGTGCTTCTAATCTCATATCAACGATCTCAAACTCATAGGTCTTCTCGTCTCCACCGGGAGCGAAAAGGTCCCCCGCAGCCTTTGTATCCGTTTTGCCTGTGTAGCTTTCCAGCTTCGCTTCCCTGCCGGCTACCAGTATCCGCACCATCTTCTGTGATGCATTGTCAAATTTCGAGTAAGGATCGTGATCGTGTCCAGACCATCCGCCGATGATATCAAGAGCAATCTCCCAGTATTGTGCGTCCGCGTCGTTGCCTTCGCCAGTGTATCCAGTGGGCTTGGTGGTATAGAGGTAATCAAGGAGGATCGAAGGGAGGCTAGGCCCTGAACACCAATCGACACAAGGTGGACTACGCTTGCTCTTTTCTGCTGAACACCACAGATCCGAGCATGCTAGACCGGAGGATAGATTCTTGTTCGAAATGGAAGGCGAAAATTGTAAGACACGAAAGCTTGGGGGACTCGGTATAGTTTGGAGGGGATAAACAGGGTTGCCATCGAGCAAAATGGTACGATTATTGTGCGAGAGGGTGAAGTTCATCAACTATGTTCAGTAAAGGCGTGGTCAGCAATCTCTCTTCCAACGAGCTCGACACAGAGGTACAACCAAACTCACAAAGATTTGATCAGTCTTCACAATCTTGCGCTCAGACTCCTTCGTATATTCGGCATACGGGCAGTCCTTACATTCAATCTTGGCTATATAGGAGGACCCGGGCACAACTACGACATCATCAATGGGTTGTAAGCGAGCCTCAAGTCTCCCATCCTTTGCGGAAGGCTTCGAGAAGTCGAGCGCTTCATGAAGGTACGCAGCACAAACGGACGAGTACAACAGCAGTACAAGCGACAAGGCAGCTGGCAGCATTGTGTAGTGGTGGTGTTGTTCGGGAGACGCAGGGGCGATGCCTGGGCCACCTAGATGATGAACCTCGCCATTGTCAGGGGCGTAGCGTGCAGGGGTGGGGCAGGTCTAGCCGGCGGCACAGCTTATCTAATCAGCGGCTTCCCCGCAACGTGCCGCCGTGCGTGCCATGTCTACAGTGTCAGTGTCAGTATGCTGCTTGTCTAGTCAGGCGAACAAGACTACGCATCGCGCAAACAATGCCAATACTAAGGGAAGGTTCCACCGTTATGCTACGTGGTGGTACCTGCATGCGACTCGTTCCCACATGTGACGTCACACCATGAGATCACCGATGCGCCGCCACCTTAAATCCGCAGTCCTACCCTACCCAGACTCTTAAGTCCTACACAAACCTCACATAACCACCATACCTACACACGCAACACTCAGTATCCATCACAAAGCCCTACCAAACACCACCATGTCCAACTCAAGCTCCACATTCCAGTCCTTCTCCACATCCTTCTCCTCCAGCTCTGTAAACGGCCAAACCACCTCGCACTCCGAGTCCACATACTCCGATCCCTCCGGCACACGCGTGCACCGCACAAGCCAAGAGCCAGGCCAAGCCGCGCGGGAGGAGCGCTTCGAAGTCGACCACAGCGGCAGGCGCGTCAAGGGTGCACAAGCAGACGACCAGAAGAGAATACAAGATGTGACAGATGAGGAGGGCGAGGGTGGCGAATCGAAGGACGACGGACAGGCACAGAGGGATAGGGAGTATGAGGAGAGGATCGAGGGAGAGTACGCTAAGAGGGAGGGCGGCGCGTAGGCGTCTTCTCAGAAGGAGGGGGAAGGGGGGCCTTAAGAGTATGGAAATACGGAAATTGAAACTAAGACGACAAACGTGTGTTTTTCTTTCAACGAGGTATTGGTCCAAGAAGCCATGGTACGGCCTGATAAGATGTTAATGTGTATTTTTACATGGCCGACTTCCTATCATCACGCTTCCCTTTGTTCTATTCCGTAGGTAGTCGTTGTTAACGGAATGGAGTCTTCTCATTACCGGCATTACGCTTTTAGTTTGGAATGCTACTCTTAATAATGTCTTTACAAATCGTTTCTTACATCCCCATCATCCAACAGCAGCCATTCCACGGGCAGAGGCTCATATGAACAGGATACGCATTCTCATAAGCTGCAGAGTCCTCTAGAAACAATGTCCACTCTCGCAACGATGTAAGCACTAACATTCGTCAACCTTGTCCAGGTACCACCTAGCAGTTTCTTGTCTGCCATAGCTCGCGTAATCAAAGCCCAAAACCTAGCGCGCTGAGCCTCACTAGACATGCATCCAGCATGCGGGTTCCTATTATGAAACTACCATAATTTTCCCTTCTTCATTGGCTGAACTCGCCTGATTTATTTCAGACGTCGGAAGTTTCTCTTGATGTTTATTCACTCAACCTCTACAAAGCCTCTGTAACGTGCTTTTTGTGTAACCCAGGGTATCCACAGTCGGGTGTCTCGCAGTTGAAACGTAGGTAGAGGTTCCGTATTCATGTGAGTGCCAGAACGGTATTTTGAGTCAAAGTGATATGAAACTTCTCTGGTTATGGTAAGTCAGATTGTCACCAAATTCCTTTATTGGCGTAGATCCTATGAATCGCGAGTATTTGACACTTTGTAACAGATTCTCGAGTCAGTAAGTGTCGAGGCAATCCGCTGGGCTATTGAGCGAGCCAGGGTTGTTTCTTCGCAGCAAGAATGCATCAGTGCCACTTGATGCTCCTAGTATGGCAGAGTTAAGGTCCAGACCTAGATGTATTTATTCCCTTTCTTCTTCTTGTTCCCCTACTTCTCTCGATGACCACCATTAGTTCCCCATACCGAATTCCAAGCGTATACAAGTCGCTTTCTCCAATCCCTGTGGAATAAGGCAATTCAACCCCACTTTGGTTCTTTAGTCGTCTCTCCCCATAAAAGCATAGACTATCACCTCTAGCTTGACATGGACATACCAACCTCATCGCCACTCGTTCGTAGTAAGCGTTGAAAAGAAAAGCTGGAAGCCGACATGGAAGCATAACTTTACGAATTGCTAATGCTATTCTTTACCCCGGATATGCCATTTGAAATCTTGGAAGATATATTAAACTCGAGAACTTTATGAAATTTTGAGGGTTGGAGGTGCATGTCCATACTTTATACACATATTAGCCTAAAACTTGCTACGTATGCAGTGGGTCTTTGGACAATAAATGGCCTTGCACTTTTTTGTGAAGAAAATGATCAGTGTAATGCATGAGAACTCATCGGAGGCGAAGTTCGCTTTTCAAGACAAGATAGAAGAATCACAGGAGCCTTGTAATCTAGTATTCTTACTGTAAAGCGTGGCAAAGAGAGAATAAGCCTATCTTTATTTCTCATATCAGGAGTTGGACATGTACATGATACAGTGTTTGGAAAAGTTGTCTCTCTACTACACTTCAACTTCCTCTCCACCACTATGTTTACGATTTGTGCAGTAGCAAATTTCATATGCCTGGCTTAACTCATATATCGGAATCATTGTGTTGCCTTCAGCATTGATGAAGGATTCACTCTTCGTGAATGTATCGACAACATGGAGAACATATGGATGGCGAGGTCGGTCATAATCTAAATTGTTCGCCCCGGTGAAGTAGTTGGGATATTTTCAGCGATTCGGTAGCTCTTGTGTCATCGTGAAGAGGGAGTGTGTACCGTAGTGTGCTCGAGAACCCAGGAGGCTCTCAAGATTGTAGCGATTGAAGCTGGTCAGGTATATCCATCACCGTAGAGGCATTCGGGGGCGTGGCTATGAGCCTACATTAGTTTTATGCGTCTTCGTGAAAGGTTTTGCGTACAATTTGCATGTTGGACGTTGATGTACTTATAAGTAGGGCTCCTTGACTTCAATACACTTTGCATCGCAGAATGCTTAGGTTGTGAGGCATTGAAGAACATCAGGCTAGGTTATGGTCGAGGTCACAGTCATCACAGCAAGTCAATGAGAAGTGTAGTCTGATGGTGAGAGGCGCGGCAAAGAAGCAGCCAGCGCAAAACAAAGATTTCATTCGTGATCAAGCGCCGAGGCGCCGCAAAAGACCACCCAACCCAGCACCTAAACGCCGCCAGCCAGTCGTCTCGTCGCCGTCGTCGTCGTCGTCGTCATCATCATCATCATCGTCATCGTCGTCCTCGTCCCTCATCCTCCCCAGCTCGCACCGCCGGACAGACGGGCAGCTTCGACGCGGCGGGCGACAGCGAGTCTGCTATCTGCGTCCTGGAGGACAACAATCAGTAAAGGTTACTTCGAATTACCACCAGTGACAATAAATTGACTTACGAGCTTGTGGAACCAGTCCACGTACTCGACGATCCGCTCGTACTCGGTGTATTGGTTGGCCACCCGCCGTTGGGAATCGTGGGCCATCTTGACCTGAAGCGACCAGGTCGCCAGCGCGGAGCTGAACTGCGCGAAGCTCTGCGCACCCGGGCGGACAGGGGTTGGAGGGGTGTTGGGAGGGTCACCGCGAGCGGGAGGACGCCTCGGAAAACCGCCAGGTGGAGGAGGAGGAGGAGGAGGCGGCGGAGAAGAGGGCCGTGGGTGTGGGCCGAATGGCGGACGAGGCACGGGCTCCTCGCAGAAGAAGTGGTTGTCGCGTCTGGAGTCCATTTTTCTGTTGTATGGAGTCACAAAGAGCTGTAAATCTTCAGAATTGGTGGCTTTAAATATGCTACTCTCTGAGGCCCCTGCGCTGCGTCACGGGGTTTGCCAAGCCGACGTAGACCCGAGCGACGACGGCTCCTTCACCACTGATAGCCCCTCATTTGGCTGGGAGGAGGTCATACTCCTGGTCGGCAGTCGTATCCCATCCAGCTCTTAGACGTATGGACTCCCAATCAGAAGACTTCGACCAAGTGACTTCAACATCTCGCAGGGGCTGCAATTCACTGATGCGGGAGTAGCAACCTCCAGATCCTACCTACACCCAGTATTTCCTACAACACCAAGACCTTTCGCGGCGACATCACTGCGCCCAGTACGAGAGCCAATGGCTTACGTTAAAGAACACAGCAAACGTTGACTGCTAGAAGCGAGTGCTGGTGGAGGAGATTGGAGACCACAACGTGTGATTGAATGGCAAGGCATAACCATGGACGGGGCTGAGGTAGACAGAGATGACGATGGCTTGATGGAAGGCATAACCATGGACGAGGCTGAGATAGACAGGGATGACGATGACTTGATAGAAGGAATAGGCAATAGGAGATATACCATACTTGTCGGAACAGCTGCGATGCAGATGGAGATAGGCGCTGCATATATTTGTTTCAATGTTGAGTCCGGAATCCCGCGCCTGTAGACGAAGACTTCATCGTGCATGTGTAGCTTATGAATCGACATCTGTGACCTGCAGGTTGTTTGTTGCAACTTGTTCTGCTATGTGCACTCGTCGTCGCCCATGGTTTCGAGGATGCCATATGCGCCGGAGAAGCACGCATGAGCTACGCATGTAATAGATGAAAGCATTTTGGGTGACATCTTGAAGCGAGACATGTGCTGCAGTTCCTATAGCCCCTTCGGCTCTGCTTGTTCTTTCGTGCACCACGAAAGCTTGACAAACAAGTCTCAGATGGAGCCAGGAGCGGGGTACCATCTCCTACTCTGTAGATCTGGTAGACAATGCCAGCCTCATTTTATGGGAGGACCCAAAATATGACGGTACTGTGGCCGCCATCTCGCTGTCTGCGCTTTCGTTTCGTGGCGGGGCTTGGGCAAGTGAGTTTCGTCGGCTTGTGCGGCTCCCTCTGCACCACCTTTACCACGCATACGGCCGAACCACCACAACGCTCTCGACAAGCTCTTTTAATACTCATGAAAGTTTCCTAGGCTCCGCGCAGTTCTCGCAGTCGTGCTGGCTTCCACGATGGATCCCTCTGCGGCGGCGAGCTCGAGAGTCCCCATCGACCCCGCAACACCACACGGACATGCTCAAGCAACAAGACCAGCCCTAGGGCAATGGCGCTTCATGGCACGCTTGGAAGAATATGCAGAGCTACAGACGGTCTCTCCAAATTGGCAAGACCGACAGCAGCATCGTCCGTGGCGAGTGGGCCTCGCGGATCACCTGTAACCCTCCACAACATCGTACTGGCTCACTTTTTCTCACGAACATCCGCGGAATTCCTTCCAGTCTTGATTTTAATTCTTTTATCAGGCGTCATTGTTGTCGCAGTCAGGCATTCTCGCCGCCTTTGGCCTCTGCCTACCGAAACGTACATCTGGCGGTAATGCGCACGACGGCATTTGCTTAGACGTGAGGGCATCAAAACACGTTACCCGGGATCTTGGAGAAGGGGCTTGAAGCAATCCAGCCCGGTGCGCTCAACAGCGTGGGGCCATTAGTCGGGCTCAGATGGGCAAAGCAGACCGCCGTCCGGGTTAATCAGGGCCTCGGTGTAGGCTCTTCAAGCGGCAAGTTCGTCTGGAATACCGTCTCCTCTTTCTCTGGCATTAGAACTTACATGGTCAGGTAGTGGAACTCAATCTGCCCTTTCGTCGTCGCGGTTCCTGATGCCTCCTGTTCCTGACTGGAAGCGATCCGTACCGGTCGAAGCCATTCCGCCCTCCATAACGCCACACCGGTGGTTCGACCGCAATAACCACTCGAGAATGTCGAGCCGGCAACCACAGAATAGCATACAGAAATCTGGGTACCTCGAAAGCCCCCGGGTTGGCGTATAACGTTGATGAAAAGGAGGGACGAAGTGTCGCCAGACGTCTGAGAGGGTTGGTGCGAAGCGAGCGTGGGGCTGGGAAGCCACGCCCCCCTACCAACATCAACCTCGGTTTACACAATCTCCATCTCTTCCTCATCCGCTCCATCAGCTTCACATCTTGTATACGCATCTCACGCGTTTTCTGAGAGGAAATGATTGTTCTGGGGAATCGTCGAGCCTTCAAAAGTCAGCAAACAAGCAACAAATACCCAGGGGCACAGCTTTCTCAGCTCAGCATGTCGCTTGGACGTACTTACCTCATAACACGAGCACGATGTACCGGGCCCGGGGGCTGAAGACGAAAAGAGGTAGATTTGGCAATGATATGGGCTGTAAGAGATGATGCAGTACTATCGCCCATGCTGGACATTGTCAACTGCAGCAGGAATCTGCGCCGCCATACACTGCCCTGAACACCCTCGGAGCCCAAAGTCCCAACACTGCAACCAGAGTACCAGATCAAAGACCGGGGATTCCGGAACTATACCGCACCCATCTTCCTCCACTTCCTCCCAAGGCCGACCCAGCCTATCCTACCAGCGCCGCGAGATATAGGCCGTCTTCAGAAGCCTGATCTTCGCGCACGTATACGAGTCGCCCCTCAAGTTCTATATTGTTGAGCATCGCTGCTCCAGACATCGAGTGGCATATTCTACGATACCACAGCCGCACCAGCGGCCACCCGCCTCTTCAACTCCCCGTCCGCCCGCCCAATCTGAAGGTACCGCCTATGGTGTACTCGGGGATGCCATGGTTTCGAGCACAGCGGTGTCATCACCTATGGTGTTCCCGAGGGATACCATGGTTTCGAGCACAGTAATGACACCGCTGGTTGCGGCATCCCCAGGCACACCACAGTTTCGAGCACAGTAATGACACCTCTGGTTGCGGGGTCCTTGTGGGCCCGGATCGCTGATACGAATACGGCCATCTTGCCGGTCAATGTGGTCCGTATCAGCGGCCCTATGTATGCCCACTATCCGCTATACCCGGGAGCCACGCTGCCTACCAACTGCGCGCTCCGGGTCCAGAGGTGCCACCACCTCCTGCTATTTCCCCGAGCCACGCCGTCTACTGACGTCGCGCTCGGGGTCCACAGGATTATTCGGACCCGGCCCCGACCTCGCCGGATCCAGTCGTCACCTCCGATTTACTTGTGACGTCCTTTATGTATTGTGTTGTAAATTTCTCTTGGGTCGAGCTTGTTCTCGATGCGTTCTTGACAAAGTGTTGTGTCTCTGTTACGAACCGTTGGACTCCCGATGAGGTTCTCTGGCATACTAAAGACGAGCAGCGCGAAGCCTGGAGAGGCATAAACAGGCGGCGGATTGCAATCGGCTATTCGGCGTGTGTCTGACGGCTCAAACGCTCTTGACGTATTTCTAGTTGCAAGCGCAAGAGGATTCTGCGACACTGTTAGCCCGAGCTTCGCATGCACTCTCGAAAATCCAGCAAAGTCGACGTCCATCAGAAGCTCTGTATAGCAGCACCAAAAACCACAGCATACACCACATCCTCGTCAAAGTAAAATGCAACGAGGCATGACGTATAAGGCAACGAGGCATGGGTAGGGGCCAGGTTATCTCTGCTCATGTTTTGGGCCAATGGCCACCTCATCTTGTGGAGAAGATTTAATAAGAGAATATGGTGCAACTTACCGCAGGTCAAACTCCTCGTATGGATCTAGCGAAAACATCCAGTTGTTGTATCTTCTGCGAGGGTGTTAGTACAGGTTCAGCGCTAATGGGTTGAGCAACAAAGCATCAGGATATCCTTCTCAGAAGCTCTCTTTTAGCAGCATTGGGGAAATCAATATGATCCGCAACCTCACCTACAACAGAACACGGCAAGGCGGGTTCAATATTCGAGCGCTCCCTCAGCGAGATCAAATGGTAGGGAAGAAGTCGCCGATTGGTTGTTCACACCAATCATTGGTTCAACCCTTCATCTTGGATACGAAAGAAGAGAAGAGAAAGGCAGTACTCACCTCGAAAAGCACACGTTGAAGTGCTAGAAACCGTGTCTTCCATAGCAGGAGCGTAGATTGACAAGCCACCGTACTTGTCGAAGTCGATACCCACATGCTAGCCTGCAAGACTGTGGGAAGGAGTCCCGCAGCTGGCTCGAGGACCACTTGAACGCAGAATGGCAAACTCGATCATTGCCAGGGATCCTTTAGGCCACGATGAAGCGCTTGGCATATATTGCGATCGATCGCAAAATGAATGTAGCGACCTAGGCTGTCAAGTATTAGCACCATTCTCGACACAGGACCTAAGATCGTCGATGAATAGCGAAACAAAAGAGAGGAACCGAAGAACAAATGTCCGAGCACGGAAACCCACGTATCGTGTGAAGTGGAACGGCCACTACCAATCATGGAACGTTCCTGCGTGCGATCGCGAGCCACCGCGAGATTTTCTCTCGCCGTCGAGAGTTTCAAAGAACAAGAACAACAGATACTACACTGGCTACTGAAAACGGCGGCCATCGCGAGGTTGATTTTTCATGTCTGGCCATGCTTTCTTCCCTCCTGGGCAAGAAAGGATCGAACGAAGATGCTATAGGGAAGCGCTTTCGTTGATCAAGGCCGAAGTCGATGCGTAAAATGTGAGGAAATGAAATTGAATGAACTTACTTCTACCGTCAGCCGACGATGACCGGTATCGGTCCAGCTTGCGCTCACACCCTTGATCTTGACAGTGGAGGCTTGAGCAGCTGTCTAAGTCCACTCGCTGAGTGCATCTTGGTATCACGGCCAGGGCTCCTGCCTCGCGCAAGTCGATAGCGAGTCGAGACACAGCGCGCCTCAAGGTGTGTCACCGTTCGTTTGGAGAGGTGATAGATTGGGGGCGCGGTAAAGGATACGTCTCGCGGACTGCGAGGATTCGATGGCCTTCTCGTAAAGGGTACGACCGTTGATACAGAGAGTTTCTGTAGCCTTAGGTTGTCAGTGTGGTCAAGAGATGGATCTCGTAAGGTACTACTTACAGTCGAGCGAAATGTCGTTGGCTGGTACCCAGCATCTCACGAGGACGAGAGACATAGTATTGTAGCGATGTCCTACATCGCTTGGCTGTTGCAGTGCTAGGCTTTACTTGCGTCATGGTCAGCAGTGCGTTCTTCTTGTTCGAAGATGCGAACATCTAACACACTGACGTGGGCCGACAGCAGTCAGGTGGTGACAGAGATGGCGGCCGCTGCTGTGATCGTCAGTATTTGTGTCCTAAGAGGAGGTGATAAGAGGGGGAGCACGCACCACGACCGACGCAGTAGACCTTCGAGAGTCGAGGGTTGTTCCGAGTCGGGACTTTGGCTGTTGTGGTTATTAATCCTCGGGTGGGGTTGCAGTCGCCTTGCTGGTGGTTGACCCGATTGGGAGCTTGGCTATTCGCAGAAGTGATCAGCAGGGTTTCCTGACGAGGAGCGTGATCTGACCGAAGCATTGCTCCAGAAAGGAAGGCGCTATGAAGAGTTGACTGGTGGGGTGGGTGGCAGGGTATGGGGTGTAGGAGTAGTGAAACCCCCGGTGCTGCCAGGGCAACAGGCGTGAGGGCCGCCAGCAGCGAAAGGCATGGCACGTTGCCGCGTCGGTGCAAGCATGATAGGAGATGATAAGGATCGTGTAACGACTTACCTGGGTGGTGTTGAAGCTGGTCGTCAAGCTGGCCGTTACGCTGGCCGTCAGCAGCAGAGCAAATAGCTCCGCACCGAGTGAGCCCGACCGGAACGGCGCAGGGCGTTGCAGCGAAGCTCGAGAGATTGACTCGAGCGTCGTGGGCGTATTGGAAAGCCACCCAGTGTGGTATTCATGATCAAGAGATGGAGAGAGCAACGAGGTTGGTGTTTGGGAAAGTGGTGTTGAGGAGGCGGAGGTTGAGAGTGAGAGGGCGAAACTTATATGTCCCTTGGACCGACCTTGGAGGGGCAACGCATAGTTTCGCTAACATCATTTCACCACCCAGGTCTACAGATGGCGATGCAACACCACAACGAAAAGATCTCAGCACCAGAGAAGTTTGCGGAGGGTGCCACGGACTGTAGCATTCTAATCGCACTACTCTGGAGAGATTTTAAGGTGTGGATGTGGAGAAGTGGCGTAGGAAGGTTAGACATTGCAAAGCCTTGACGCAAAATCGCGTCCAGGGGCAATACAAGAACACCAAAATACGCTCGGTGAGTGTGGGCTAGATTAGTCAGACCGGGGTGCATTACGTGTTGACGGAAGAGGCAGAAGGCGAGCGGCGTACAAGGGTGACTGGCACATACACTCGAACGGATGCAAGTACATTGGTAACAATGAAGCCTCCTCTTCAACATAATGAAGCCTCCTCTTCAACATGACTCTTTTGAGCGTGCGTGGGTCGCTGAGGTGCAGAGAATACCTCCGCCGCCAGGATGGCTGCCTTCAAGGACAAGCCCACCAAAACATCAACGTGTGAAATGAACAGACCGCACAACCAAAGTGCGCCCACCTCGACCCTCGACCCTCGACCCTCGCTCTCGAATACCCTAGCTTCTACCAATCCTCAGTACCAAACCTAGGAGCTGATCAAGTTCAGTCTCAGGGAACTCTGTCTGCTGTTCGAAGCAAAAGCCCCTCGCAGTTCACAAGCCCCATACTCAACCACCCTCCTACTCCCGTCGTAGCTGAACCCAAGCCCCCGGAGCTCACGTCGAGCCAACTACTACTGTTGTCGAAGACTCCTTAAAGGTTACAATTCCGCCTTTAACAACCCCCCACGCGCGAACAGTAGTTCTCAATGCCCATCCTCCACACTACCTTGGAGATCAGCGTAGCCTGGAGGATATCCGCGAGACCGCAGCCATAAGTTGGCAACGAAGAACACCACAGAAGGTCGAGTCAAGGTCAGGTCAGCGGGGGAACCGCTCTTACAGCAAGAAAGGGATCGAGCCGTTGAGCCCTCCAGGAATCAGAACCCGACCAACCTGGCTCGGCAGCGTGGGCTCGCCCCGGCTGATGGCAGGCACGACGTTACTCGAAGATGGTCAAGGCAACACTTTATTACTACCTGGGGGCGCGACTGGGCCTGTCAACTGAGCGGGTCGTCAATACCACCACATCGATAGCGTAGACACCACAGAAGGGGTAAATGGTAGAGAGCATGAGGACAAACGCCCCGGAGGCAACAGTGCGGGGTTATCGTCTACCACATCTGAGACACCAACTACCGAGCATATGGAGTTCGAGTACGACGAGTTGTTGGAAGTTGAAGAAAACAATGCGACTGTTGAGCCTGGCGCTGATGATAGTTGGGCGTGGCCTCTTCTTGCGAATGCTCTGGTCGGACGGGTCGCAGTCGCAGTCTACAAGCGGATGCTACGGCTAGTGTCTATTCTCATTGAGAACAGTAATGGCCCCGATCGCGAGTAATGGAGCGCTTCTACGGCGTTGAAGGGCATCAGGAAGCACTTAGATGGCGAGAGTCTAATCGTATCGCACGTTCCAATGATTCAGATCGAAACACCGCCTCTGTGATTGACTGAGAACTCTGGTTGACCTCGAAATCACCATATAGGGTTTTCGGAACATCATTGTTCAGCAACCTACATCTTTTGAAGTAGAATCCGCCTCCTACGTTTAACTCTAACAGTTCTCCCCAGCAACCATCATAATGAGCGAAGCAATGCCTACACGATAAGAACCATCAACGACCTCAATGTGGAGCTTTCACTCCCGTACCCTGAGAGCTATACACACCCATGCGATACTCAAATTTCCCGTTCACAAGACATCAAGAAGGCTGGAGCTACACGCGAAGCTATGTACATTCAATATATATCAAACACACCCTAGGCCTTCAACACGGAATTTCAGCTCTATTCCCCCATGTACACGGTACCGACACTCTTTCCCAACACCCTACGACACCCCTCGTTGCCTTTCAATAGAGTAGCCAACCGCTTCAGAGCCGCTGTTAGCAAGGCTCAAACCGCTCGATTGGAATTGTCCGGACTAAAAGCTTACCTCGACGAGTAAGCTAGAATCGAAAAGTCACCGGAGTGGTTGATTGTGGCCGAGCACGAGCTCACGCACACGTCAATAATTCGCACAACGAGGAAGTTGATTGAAGACGTTTTGGCTAGAGGGAGTTTACATTCTTCTTCTTAGACGGACCGCTCTGGAATCTCTCTTCGATGAGATCAAGAATACATCTACATACATTTGACGCTGCCGTCTTCGTCAATGTCATGGAACCTTTCCTCGACTTCGTCCCTTTCATCCACGTCCATTGAGCCTCTCCAGGGCTGTCCTTCCGCTTTCATACCCCTCTTTGGCTGCCCCCGGTGAGCCAGTGTGAGCAGTCTAGTTGGTAGTCGTGTACTCGAGGGTGTCCAAGGCCCGAGTAAGAATTACTTTCTAGGGGTTGGGCTATGATATCTTATCAGACCTGACTATCGAACAGGACATCTAGTCGACCACCATGGATGTCATTGTAGTCCTCAGTGTCATCTTTCTAATTTGCAGTACCCATCACAATCAGTTCTGCCTTCGCCTTGTGCTTAGCGTTTTCAGCTGCCTCCTCTTCCTTGCAGATCTGGTTGGCCCAGTGAACCTCCTCGGCCGTCACGAAAGATCCCACCAGCCGGGCCTTGATGATGCGCTCGGCTTTCTGGAGGGCTTCTTTGCGCTGATTCTTCCTCGCGTCTCTGACCTTGATACGCTCCGAGACCCAGTTAGTGGGAAGTGGTGTTTCTCTCGGGTTTGTGATGTGCGAAAGGGCTTGCTGACGGAGAGGGTCGGTGGCTTCACGGGCTAGAAGGCCGGGGATGTCGCGATATGCGTCCGCGAGAGAGGAAGGAGACCTGCGTGAGGTGCGTTTCTGGCCTGCCATCTTTGTACTGGGGTGGGATTCTTGAGTTTGGATAGAAGTCGTGGCTGTCTATGAGCTATTATATGTTAGCAGTTCCAAAAAGCGGTTGCGAACTTGTCATGTATTCTTCCACACCAACACATAAATCCACCCTTTCGAACCGGTTTCACCCCAACAATCGCCTACCCCAACGGCGATAATCTTCATGTTTGAAAGGCCGTACACAAGCCTGAGAATCAAGTTACTCCAAACTATTTCCAGGTATATAATCAATTGTGGGACTCTGTGAAGGGAGGTGTGGGATAGAAGGGAGAAAGAGGATCCGCAGAAGGGTTTATATAGCTGTATTCATCTTATGATGCACTCAAACAGCGAAGTTTGTGTTTGCGAAGCCAGTTCACAAGCCCTCGTCACAGTTGGGCCGGCGCGTCATGAGCGTAAACAGTGAAAGCATTCCCTTCCGCTCTAGGTCTTTATCAAATCATCCACCTCTGCATCTTATCTACCAGTCAACTCTACCATCACATGATAGAATTTCTTCTTCGCCGTCGTCTTCCTTCTTGGCCTCGTCGACTGATTTACTCCTCTTCTCACCACCCTTCCCAGCCTGAAGCTAACAGAGAGATGAGAAGCTATGATGGAGGGAGTCAACGGTTACGATAGTCTGAAACGAAAATTGAAAAGGGTGGATGCATCATGAGATTCCTGGTGTCAAGTACGGCAGGTGTAATATACCTCTACTAATGTTACTATAGACTAAGCTAGTTAGGTACTAGCAGAGGGCCTTCCTGTAGATACAGATTAAATAGACCTAATATAACGTTACTATTTAATGACAACAAACCTTACGCAGGTCTAATTCTATATTTCAATCTCTCTCTCTTATATCTCAGTAGTAAAATACGATATTATATTAAACGATTTCTACTTCTTCTCTTTTTATAATCTCTGCATACTCTTGTAATACTCCAGGCTCAACGGCAAACATTCCAACTCTTTCAAATATAAAACCTGAGAGATCTTGCCGCTTCCGTAGAATCAAACCCCTACATCTACGAAGGCGAGGCCCTAATGTGATTACTGCAATAAATAAGCAAGATAGGACTTCACCTTGATTCGGACTGAAATCGAAGCGAGAATCTATAGATGATACGATAGGGTGGTCGCTTGCTTCGTGTAAAAGCTCCAACCGAGTAGAGCTTCGGTATACCATTTCTGAAACAGGCGCAGAAACCTTCATCCTACCGCTGTAAACAGCGCCACAAGGATCCTCTGCCTCTGTATGGCATTCTGCTTCCAGAACGTTGGCATATACATGCTTTAGCTCTGAGTGGTAGTCAAACACACTTCCCTCATACATAGCGCTCTCGCCTTGTATTGATACCCAGGACCATGAGGGTGCTCGATACGGACTTGCGCGAGAACTATTCCGTGCGTCACACGTGCGCCACAGAAGTCCTCGCGGCAAGTCATTTCGCCATAGACCAGCTAGGTAGGGCCCAGCGCCGTGTTCTTGAAAATGATGAGCCAGTCCAGAGAGAGCTGGGAGTATGTCGCTGGGTTCAGTGAGGCCCCGAGCCGCTGCGTCATTCACAACTTCGTACCAAATCTTGAACTTGTCGGCGGAATGGGAATTTAATGCTTTGTGATAGCGAATCCTCTCGTTTTCGGCTGAGATGCCTCTGTCCAGCTCCATACATTCACAGGATAACGCTGAGTCGCATTCCCATATCATCTCCTTCCTTGCCAAGTGCACCATTCGAGAGGCTAGCAGTTGCTCCTGCAATGTCCACGCTCTTTGCATAAGAGGTTCACCAGTATCCGCAAGCCTCAGGCCATTCATGAACACCGCACACGGATTCCGGTGCAATTTATTTTGCCATCGAGCGTATACGGTTGTATTTTCGCTATCAACAATAGCTACTGGTACATCCTCTCTAGGATAACCGCCTTCTTCGTTTTCTAAAAATCCGCCGTGTGCGTTATCCGACATGTCTGCCCCCAGAACTATATAAGCGTTTTGGTAAACAGCCGCCATATTTCCCGACTCTTTCACCCAATCCTCTGTACTATCCTGAATGATGCACAACGCATCAATCCAGAGATACTTTAGACCAAGGCTCCTTGTGACTGTCACAGCGTCCTGGAAATCCTTAGGCAGACAGCCAAAATTGATTTCTTTCTTGTAGGCGTGAAGGTTGTTTTGCGTAGTCTGTACCGCGATTTTGCCACCCCAGCAATGACTAAGGGCAACGTAGGATCCTGTCGAACCCGAGACTTCTCTTAATTTGATATGATCGAAGGTGCTAGAACCAATATCTAGGACGCGCGTCGGCAACTTTACATCTTCATTTTGGCGACAATTTGTGTGGGTTTCGCGGCATATCCTTAGCCACTCCTGAAAGATTGCCAAATCAGTGGACCTTCGCGGGTGGACAGCACGGCCGACACCAACCATAGGCCACGAGGACTTTGCTTGATCAATCTCCGTATAGAAATAGACTCAATAGTCGCCATGGACGCGATTATTCCACATCCTCAGTATGAATGTAAGGTCCCGTTTGAACGTGACTGATGCTTCTGTATTTGGAACAGGTTCCCCAAGCGCTCGGAGCACGCCGAGATACCGAAGGCGACATTCCTGACAGCCAGACTCTGCCGATGTACTTAAAGATTGGAGTCCTATAGAAAAGTAATCCCGTTCAAGAATTATTTTGCAAGTCTCACAGAACGAGTCTGAGGATGGGACCGATGCGAAGTGAACTAAGGAATCGTGTTCTAGAGTGTCGATATGTGCCATTTTCTTGCTAATGAAGCGCTTTGCTTTTGTAATTATTCGTCATGTCATTCTTCAATAGCTAACGTGAGATTGAAGTAGTTGTAATAGAATGAAAGCTATTTGGGCTGCTTCTAGCTCTTGGACTAACATTATAGAGAGAGTGAGGGGCTCTGTACTAGAAATAAGCCTGTCTTTCAGCCTGCAGGACTAGGTGCCACGTCAGAGGGCTGGTTTAGTTTCGTTTGTAATCACGCGCTTGGAAACTCCCCTGCTTTAGCATTATACACATAATCAAAAGTGACGTGTAATGCAAGACTAGCCTATAGAATAAATGCCTCATGTATGGCGCACATGTCCAGCAATTTAGAATCTGTCGTGTTATCAGCGGGGGCTCAGCTCTGCATAACTTTGCATTGTGTCCGAGCCAATTGTCTGATCAATTGCTGCACCCGAAAAGGATCTGAGCTACAATGTCAAGTATACTTTGGTGCCTATATCAGCCTGCCCAGTTAAAACAAGCTATTCGAGCCCAACCTGCTACGCGAACCTTGCCTACCACGTCCATTTCCTTGTCTGCTTACCTTTGCTCTACTGCCCCGACCTGCCGGCTCCCCGCTCTACTAGATGCAGTAGATCGAAATTTGCCCCGCATACACAGTACAGGCGAGCTGTAACGGGCGCTAGATAGGAGATAAATGACTTAGATGTTGGCTTTACGTAGAATAGATCATTCAGTAACTCAGATACTGCACGAAATGAAAACTCGGGGTAAACTCAGTTGAGATGCGTGAACATGATAGATATTGAACGCCCCAAATGCATCGCCAAGTACTATACAAAGGTATTAAACTCCCAATCAAAAACACAACTCCTCGCTTCATGACTGTCATCGCTGGTAATCGTACAAGAGAAAAGCCAATCGGGATCTATCGATGCCGACGCGCACAGGCTGATGCGCAGGCTAGAGAACAGTACTGTTCTCAGATATGATCGTGGCGTCCAAGGGCGCGGCCTTTCTTGCCCAGCGCCTTAGCCTCACCCTGCTTGATCTTTGCAAGACGAGCCCTAACAAATAATTAGTATTGAATTACAATAAACACACATTCAGGAGAGGTAGATACTTACTCCTCAGCAGCCTCACGCTCCAACCTAGCCATATTGGCCCTGGCGTCTCGCACGGCGTTCTTAGCAGCGAACAAGGCGCGGTCTGCTTCTCTCTCGGCAGTCTCAGCTTGGAGAAGGGATTGCTTGGCCGCGTGGATGCTCGGGTCGCCGGAGCTGCGGTTGAACATGCCTGAAGTGCGCTTTGGGGATGTGGTGTGGGTCGTGTTGTGGTGCGTAGTGCTGTGGCGCTGGTCGCGGAGAGATGGAGATGATGACCGACGACGGTGGAAGAGCGATGGCTTGCGTGCAGGTGCCGTGGTGACGGGGGGAGGAGTTGGCTCGCGGCGGGATCCGAAGAGAGGCATGGTGTTGAACTGGTGGTGGTGGTGGTTGGGGTTGGGGTTGAGGTTGAGTAGTTGAAGTTGAAGTTGAAGTTGAAGTGCGATTAGAAATCGAGATTGGATTCAAAACAGACTTGAAAGCTGATAGTGCAGAAAGCCAGCAGGCGGCGAGAATCGCGAGTGTTTATACAGTTTGTTTGCTGGGCATGACATAGGCGGTGTCTTTGTCTCGTAAAGCAGGAAATCATGCCTCAGGAAGCCGAACCGTGCGCATGACGTCAATCTGCCCCCAGAACCAGGTGACGGCGCAACAACACAGCGCATCGCAGCAGCCGCATCGTCATCCAATCTCAATAAACGAGAATTCAAGCCCGAGGAGGTGGAGAGATTGGTGTTTGACGCAACATGATAATACTTGGGGCTTCGGCATTGTTAGCGCGTCTTCCGTCTGCTAAGAGTACGGGGTCAGGGTCTTGCCCACATGCTAGTGCGCTTAAGTTACTCTAAGTTTATACTAAACACGACCTACTCGATGCCGTGTTACCCAGATATCCCAGCAAACATGTCCTCGCCTATCTTTCGAGCGGATTCGATCCGGATGCCAGCCTGTCGGGTTATCTCAGAGATCCGCGCTAAATTTCTGCAACGATGGGCGGTTGTCACTTGCTATTTTGATAGATTGTAATATTCGTCCAACATAGCTGAGCATACAGAGCTGCCTCTCAGTTCACCAAATGCAAGCTGCCAGTCCCATACATCACTAGACGCCTCCCAATGCACCGCTATATATAATACACACATGTTTAACTACATTGCACAGGCTCATCCGTGCCCATTGTCATCTTTTCTGTCGTCTTGATAATCGAGATGACCATGACAATGCATCCAAATGCTACAACAGCCATGGCCAGATAGGTTTTCGAGCTCTTCTTCGAAAGCTTGATGTAGCACAACGGAGGAAGAATAAAGGCTAGGGCGCATGCTGAGGTGGCGCCGAAGAGCTCAAACACGATGCCGAGATCGCAAGTAAGAAGGGAAAGAGTCAAGGCCGTCACAACCAGTGCCGTGGTAAAGATCAAGTGCCGGTTCGGGTCGAACGGTTCGTCCGGAAACCAGTAATTGTTCATCACTTCTCTGCACACAAACGCTTCGAGCGGTAACGTGGTAAGCATGTTGAAACCAAAGAACATACGGGCGATGTTGACCATTACGTTATCGTTGGGAAAGTTGTTCAGCACGTTGCCGAGCGTCTTGTCCCCGAAAGTCAGGTAGCCCGATAGTGCCATGGCAAGGCACGCAACTAGAGATATGCTAGTACTATAGTGTGTGACGCGGGAAAAGCGGTCGATGGTGGGTTTCCGGAGCGATCCGTAGATGAGGAGACTGTTGTGGTGGCACACAAAGGCAAAGGATATCACGCCAATGGCTTCAAAGATGCCGGAATGGATGACCAAGGACCCACGCAATTGCCCTCGTGACTCGGCGGGGACGCGAAAGGATTGCGTGATGATGGTCACAATGATAATGATCATGCTGACTAGCGCGAGACCGCTGGCTTTGGCAAGCTGTAAGGTATTAGCTTAAAAGTTGCACTGGCCTGTGGGTAGTATTTGCCTTTGCAATGTCGCGGTACAGCGAGAGAGGGTACGAGACGCCGAGAATGAGCAGGATCATGATGGCTCGTCTATTGGTGAGGAGCCAGAGAAACGGCGTGTCAGCTAGGGAAGGGAAGAGGGCGTTCATGACTCTTGGTATGGTATCGCCGACTATAACGCAGAAGGCCACCATGCCGCCAAATGCACTAGACAGGAGTCAGCGTACGTCCCTGTGCCCAGGTGCTGCACATACAATAGCCATTGCGCCAGCGATATAGCCACCAGTCCTGATTTGCCAAAGCAGTGCTGTACGGTAGCCTGGAATGAATCGGTGCCGCTGAGCTTTGAATTTATGACAATCAGGCGGATGGTCCAATCGACTATAATGGTAAGTCCAATGAGGAGAATGGTGCCAGTGACGAGGCCGGCGTTGCGGAAAGCGTAGGGTTGTCCGATGATGCCAGCGCCTCTGCTCCATGTTAGCCCCCTCTACCTCTTCTTTCAAACTGTTCCTTACATTATGCTATTCGCCATGTTCATAAAAGCGCTCTTCATGCCACTTCTTGGCCGCGCACTTTCCAAGTGATCTTCCGGGTCGAAAGCTTCTTCAGCAACCGTCACGCTTGGCGCCTCAATGCCCGTGAGCAGCGGCAACCTCTGCACTCTTTCTCTTCCATCACTCCCATTGCCATCCATGTAGTCATCCCCTTCTAGCTCGATCCAGTCGCCGCCGCCTGCATCTCCGTTGAGACCCCTCGATGGCTCTTCGAATCGTACTCGATTCGGCGTTCTGGGGGTGCCATCTACCCGAGGCTGCGCAAATGAAGACTGCCGCTTTATGTTGCCATTGGGACGCGAGCCAGGGAGTGCTGGGGATGCCGAAGCAGCTCTCGAGGAAGCTGGCGATGGGGACAGGTGTCGTGGGCTCGGGCGCCGCTCGAAGTCGGGTTCAGAGTCGCTGTCTGAATGGTGCTCATGCAGGAGCTTCTGGCTTTCGCTCATCGTGACATTGTCGATATCTGAAGCCTGCCAGCGTGAATCAGCGTCGAAACGTGGTGTCAGCGTTGCAACTATGAAAGTCGACGACCCCTGTTCATCATCTAGACCTTTCTGGGCAGGAGCGCCAAGCTCGCTTCGGATCCGGGCCGTTGTGACGTACAGAACCGCTACTGAACATCCAGGTACCCGATTTAGGCACTCTCTTACGTTATGTATGTACACAAAAAAGGTACGCCACTTAGCACAGTCCGCCAAAGTCTTTTTTAGATTACACATGCAGATCCGTAACCACGATAGCTCCTAGAACTCAAGCAAGACACAGAGAGTGTGTGCAAGCTCGAAGTGTGTGGAAAATGGAGCAGCGTATGAACTTGGCACTAGTCGTGCAGGCTTTTCAGACACTGTGATTAAAGGAGTGATTTCAAGGAGGACGCTAGTAAGTCGCAGAATAAACAATACAGGCATTGGTAGTGAGCAACGACGTATCTGCTGCTAGAATGAGGAGAATGTCTGTGCTGTCCAAAACTTCCTACTACAATCCAGTCAACATACTCAGACATATCTGCATGCAGGCACCAGAATAGTTCAAACAATGTGTGATCTTGCATGAAACGTTGCGTGGAACGTCGTAAGCATATGTGCTATTCGATTTTTGCCTCACCTGGAGGCCTATGGAAGATGAAGGGAAGTATATACATGAAGTAATGAAGTATCAACAAAATAAGAAAATCAGTAGCCACTGATAGATCGCAGGAAATTTTCATCCAGGATCAGCGGCATTCGCGTCTCCATCAGCCTAACGCACAAGAGCCTCAGCGGTAGCCGTAGGCCTGACCCTCGTCTCCAAGGTACACGGCGTGCTCTTCGCCGCACCACGGCCCAGACCGAAGTCATACTTCTCTGGCTCAAAGCCAACCGTGGGCCTAGGGCCGTAACCGAATCCACCAGTGGGCCTTGGGGATCCGCGGCTTGGTCGTGGGCGTCCACGGCTAGGCCAGAATCCGGATGCATGAGGACGGCCCCAGCCGAAGCCAGGGTTACCTCCATGGTGGTGGCCTGCATGTCCGTGGTGACCTGCGTGGCCGGTGCCAGTTGGGTAAGATGGAAAGGCGGGCCAGTCAGTTGGGTAGGGAGGAAGCTCAGGGGAGACAGCAGTACTAGTAGGGATTTCGGCGTCCAGCGGTGTACCGGTCGCCTCCTCGCTGGAAGGGACCTTGGTGGTGGCTATCTCGCTCTCGGAGCATGGTGTGGGAACAGCTGGGGAGTTGGACTCCACAGGTGCGGGCGTCTCAACAGGAAGAGCGGTGCTCGAGGCCTCGCTAGGGACACCTTCTGTAGGGTACACGGGTGTTTGCGATGGTGCGACCGACGATGAGCATGGCGTGCTAGAGGATATAGGTCCAATGGAGGGATTGGGTACATTGGTGCTTGAAGTAAAGGCAGGGGCCTTGGAGGGGATGAACGATTGAGAGGCAGGGAGTTGGATCGACTTGGAGGGAGCAGGTTGATCGTCATCGACTGGGAGAGAGCTAGACGCGGCTACGGGAGCAGGTGTGCTTGGAGGCGTAATGGTCGCGCCCGAAGTCACGAGCTCAAAAGTGGGCAGCGAAGAGTCTGCGGGAGCTGTAGGGGCAGCCGAAGGCGTGGCCGCAGCACTTGTATCGATCACGGTGGGCGCGCCAATAGATTCGGCGACCTCGCTCACTGGTGCTGGCTGTTCGGCAGCAGCAGATGACTGAGCGGGAGCAGCGGATGTAACAGATGACTGGGCTGGTGCGGCGGTGGTGGCAGCTGGTGTCTCGGAGGCAGCAGGCTTAGATGAAGCTGCAGGTGTAGAGTTGCCAGATCCAGCACCGTTCAAACCCATACACGCGAAACTCATCGCCTTGACGCTCGCAGGGCTCTGAGCCGGTCCGTCAAGCGTCCAGTTCATATCGACATACGGCCAGCAGACACGTCCGTCAGCCATGGTGACCATATCACCAGCAACGTAGACGTTTGTAGACTTGACAGGCTGTCCGACCTTCTTGCCGTTGTTGACGAGCTGGAAGTAAGAGCCAGTGAAGGCACCCTTGCATCCCATGGCAATGAAATCGCACTGGGGGTTGGCGATCTCCTCCCAGGTGACGAGAGCGTTCGTGCCGTCAAAAGCAGCAACGTGGGCATTCTGGCAATCGGCGGATCCAGTGGTGATCCAGTTGACCTGCGAATCACCATCGGGTCCAAGCTTAGATGTAGCTTGCTCGCCGTTGATAGTCTTCTTGTCGGAGAAGGTGGCGATAGCGACATTGCGGTTCACGGTTCGGTTGACAGAATGCGTGGCATCGCCGCCCAACCAGGTGTTGGTGGTCAAGTCCTTGGCACCTCGCGACACCCATGAGAAGATGTACGAGTCGCTACCGATGAAGCGGGCAAGGCCACTGTAGGAACCAGACATGCCACCCATGGCCTCGTTGCCGGCGCCATTTGTTACGTTTTCGTTTGAGATCTTGACACCACTCATACCGGTGCCTCCGGTGTTCAGCCAGATAGCACCCTGATCCTCAGAGCAGATACTGGGGAAAGGAACCGAGTCGGCAGCCTCGAATGCAATGCCAGTGTTGTGTGAGCAACCCCAGCTTGAGCTGGCGCCCTCGATCTGCTGGAGCGCTCCCTTCTCGCTGACGTACTGGATAGCATCACCGAAATGGCCTTGTGCGGCGCCAGAGTACGCAGTGACGACGAAGTATGCGCCATACATGCCGGTAGCTTTAGAGAATGCGAGATCGCCGTTCAGATCTGGTGATGCCAAAGCGCCCTGGCCTCCCACGTTGGACGGGCCACCGAGGAAGGTCTTGAAGGTCTGTTTGCCGGCAGTGTAACGGTAGAGGACAGCTACCGGGGTGTTGGCGGGAGGCGCGTTGGCGGTGCCAGAGGGCATGGCCTCATTTGTGAGAAGGGCAAAACCATCGTCGTGTGCGACCAGTCCACCAGCTTCCTTTCCTCCTGTAATGGTTACAGCCTCGCCCACGGAAGCGAAGGTCGTAGGATCGACTTGCTGGACATGGACATTGGTGTCGGAAGCGTCGAGGTATGCGAGATAAGCTGACTTGCCGTCAGGCGAAACAGCAAAGGGTGTACGGCGATGGTGAGGCAATCCGGTCCAATACGAATCCTTGATAGGATTGAAGGATGCCGAGAGCGCGAGGCTTCCGACGTGCGTCTTGAGATTGCTGTCAGAGAGCTGGGCGACAGCAGCACCCGCGAGCAGGGAAAAAAGTAAGGTTGAATGCAGCATATTGCAAACAGGTCAGATGTACAAAAAGAGTGACTGTAGAAACGAACGACCAGCGAACCAAAAGTCAAAGTCAAAAGAGTGACAAGAACGAACAAGAAACGAATCTTCCAAAGATCGTGAAGCGGTAAAGATCACCACATCGTGAAGGTATCGCTCCTATATAAACAAGACCCGCCTTGAAACATGCCATTTGCACCAGGACCTTGGGCCTGGACTAAGCAACCGGCACGGACGGCAGCCATCTCGGAAACATTTTGATGCATGGACATGCGGGGAGTGACGGCTCCACATGGCGGATACTATTGCTGATGCGAGTGGTGGAATGATAAGAGGGCGCGGGTTGCATGGGTGACAAGCGATATTGCGGACGTTTCAATATGTTTCGTCCACCCGGCGCTAACGGGAAATCGACACGGCTCCACGTGATATCGCTCAACATGAGAAGTCTAGAACGTTTTTTTATAATTTCGACCGAGTCATACGAGGATCACTTCCTTTTCCTCTGACTTTTGAAAGGCCTCTGTTCCCGCTGCAAAAGTGCCCAGTCTTTCCCAAGCCTCAGGATTCTGCTCGGACACGCCCAGGACGAGTCCTGCGACGATATTGTCGTATCTTGCAACGCTCAAGCAAAGCACGCATGCTTTAAAGTGGCGCAAAGGATCGCTCGGTCGCGCGCGCCGCACAGTTTCTTCCTTTCCGCCTCCTTCAGTCTTGAAACTACTATCCACAAGAAAGCAGTCGTTCGTGATGTGTATTGAGCTCGTGCCTTTGATCAAAAGCGTGTAAGCCCATTTCCCGTGCTTTTGGTCGGAGGACAGGATGGCAGGAGTTGTGGGGCCCCGTAGCGTGAGAGATCCGCCAGAGACGGCACCCATCGGATTCAACCCAGTAGGCACAATCGATGAAGCTAAAAGAGCTGCTGTAGGCGTGAAGGTCTCACGCTCCTCATCATCCAGGAAGGTGTAAGTAATGGCTACATCAAGACTTGCCCAAGAGAAGGATGGCGCCCGCCATGTGTCCAAAACAAAGGCACCACTACCTGATGTCGCAGGAGGGGAGGCATGCCACAACAGATCCAAGGCTATATTACCCTTCCAAAGTCCTGCGATATACTCTGAGTGTGTTGCTTTCCTGATCTTGCTTGCGATACCAGATATTGCGGGCAGTTTATCCCCAGGGACAGTCAGACTCCTCAAAGTATACTGCGCAACGATACGCTGCCATGCCTGCCATACAAATTCGATCTTCTTGCTTGCTACCGCTTTTGGGATAAGGGATGGCGTTGTTGGGTATGCCTTCCGGTCGGGCATACACTCGCAACGATAAGAGGACTTACACTCAAACAACAGCTCAGTCGCTGTGTAATGAAGTACTCTAGTACTAAGCACATGCTCTTGTAGAGCCCAAGCGCGGAATGTAAGTGGACCCACTGGCCTTGCGGGCCCGCTATTGGGATCGGAGGTGGGGTGGTGATCCAGTACCTTCCTTGCTCGTAGCGCGAACTCCTTCTTGGTGGTGTTTTCGTAGGGTATCTTGATGGGCTTTCGCCTCTCCGCAAGACATCTGGCGCTGCCGTCGCCAGAGTTCGTTGCGGATATCGTGATGTAGCTGTTCTGATAGATGCTTCCCATTTTGGAAGACTCTAATTCCCAATCCCTCAGGCTATCTTGAATAATACATAGAGAGTCAATCCAGATGAACCGCAAGCCCAGTTGGCGGGTGATGATGATTGCATCTTGGAAGAGTGGAGGTAAAGAGTTGAAAGAAATGTTGATAGCTAGCTTAGGCCAATTGGATTTCGTTGTTTTGAGCATGGTCGCCGAGCCCCAGCAATGCGATAGTGCAACATATTGAAAACTCTTTCCCTGGGTGTCGACGAGCCGAATCGGGGATGAAGCTCGGCCGACGTCCAAGAGTCGCTTTGGCGCTGATATCGAAGACTTGCATGAAAATCTGCAGGCTGTATGTTTGGGGTTCGCGATGCAGCCTTGAATGCAGCGCCGAATAAAGTTAAATGTCTCATCGGACCCAGAGTTGACTGGAATATGATGAGCCGTACCAAGGGTAGGCCAGGGGGTGCGAGATACTAGAGTGCATCAGGTTATCATCTGAACGAAAACGCCACGGAATGGTAGGTCTGTATAATGCAGAAGGGTGGAAGAGCAGACTACCTACCTGAACCAGCATATATCTCAACAACTTCATTCTTCCATCGCTCGCCATCGAGGCTCACTTTGATAGTCCCTTTCTCTTTCAAGTCGACATTAATTCTCACCCTCGCACCTCTCCACTTCTCAAAGAAAGCGTCCAAGACCAAGATTAAGACATTGCAGAATCTACATCCACCTCTAGCCGTATCCTTCGTCTTCGACAAATTCAAAGCATCGAGAACGAGGCTCAGGCTCGCCTTCGGTTCCTTCGCAGTCTCATCAAGACATACTGTGCTTGCATGGCCTCTCGGATCAAGACCATTGCACGTGCGGCATTTCTTGCGTTGTGTCTGGCCCACGGACGAAGACGAAGAGGTACGGCGCACCACCGGGCGCCGCAGCGACTTGGGCAAAGGCATTGGCCGCCTGAGGCGCCTTTGAGTAAAATTGCGGGAAATGCAATGCACTCAGCCCCTTTGGGAGGAGAGATTAGACAAGGGCGAGATTTCGTTTGGTGGATGATGCCGTCAGGCAATGAGGCAGGTGGTCCAAGACGGTAGTTTCCCTTTCGCCAAGGAGCTAGATGGGTTGCGGCGTACAGTGGTCGGACGCGAGATGAGCCAGGACAGGGGTTGAGCCACTTTTCCCTAGTAAAAAGCCAAAAAATCTAATTTTTAATAATTAATTCTATAGTAACTAGCTATAATTAATAATATATAATAATA